GTTAAAAAAAAAAAAAAATCACATTTTTATTTTTCACTAATGAAAGGTTCGGTTAACGTGCATATGAAGTGATTGGGTTCGGTACCTCTAACAAGGTTAAGAACCACTGAATTATACTTATATTTCCATTCAGCAAATACAGGATGCAACGACTCACGCAAACTTGGCTGTGTTACTTGGGGTGCGGCCAAAGGTGGTGCATACTGAGGGACAAAGTGAGGCTGGTTGGCGGGGGTTTGGGCTGGACTCACGCCGTACACCACTTCTTCATAGGATTTAAGGGGGGGCTGGGTGTGCACAGCGACAGAGTAGTAAGGAGGCGGGGGCTCGTTCTGTGGGAGAGAAAAGTATTGGCAGTGATATTTGAAAAATCAGCCGAACTTTTTTTCTTCCTTTTAAAATTGGTGGTTGTGTAACTCCAACGGTTGGAATCGCATTGCTTAAAATGTTTGGGAAATAATGATTTAAAATATCCAATGTCATATTATTTGGCATGTAGTATTGCGAATGAGCAGGAATACGTTTCCGCTTTTCCCAAAATGTGAAAAGAAATTGTGTAAATACTGATTGACAGTGAACGGCCAGGCTTCTTGTTGGTCATTGTTTTGTTTAGGTTCTTCTGCACGGGTTGTAACTGGGAAAGTCCTGTAATTTCCTTGTATGTTGGACACAATCTGATTCCGATTCTTTTGCCTCTTTCAACAAATCAAAATTCACTATCCGGCACCTTAATCTCTGTGTGCATCAAAACGACGTGTTTTGGAGGAAGCAATTGCGTCAAAAGTTTCAACAAACGCATGCTAGCTTGTCACTGGAATTTTTGAATAAGCTCTTTGAAGAGAGAAACGTGCGTCAGAGACGAACAGTGACAAGTGGCTCAACTTGTTTTTGATCAGGATTTAGCAATGTCATCTGGCAGAATGCTAAAAGGTGCTCAAGGATATCTAAAGTGTGTGTATGAGGGGGCGGGGGGTCTTTAAGAATTCAATCTCTGAGTTGACTTTTTCACAAAATATGTTTCGTAACATCTCCATGGCTCAGTGGTCAAGTTTCAAGAAAGCCCCGCAGGAAAACTGGAGTCAGAATTAGTGAGATGAAACAGGCGGAGGAGCAGGTTTAGCTTATTTCTCAACTATCACACACAGATCATTTTGCACGGCCTGCATTGTCACAGAAAACGAATGTTAAATGTCATTTTTAGAGGTTTACACCACACCTAAAAGGGTACAGTTTCACCCCCGAATGAAAACGATCACAAATACAAGGGCACACGCGGGTAGCGTGTTCAGGATGCAGTTTTGATATATATTATTGTCACGGATTCAATTGATGAGTTCAACTGAAGCTCAATCAAATAATTGTTCTCAATTATTTAATTGGTTCTGCTTAACTACGGTATATATTTTATCATTTGTGACAAAAACTGCTTCACATGTAAAGGAATACATTATTCAAACAAACTAGTGGATTAAACCTTTCCAAACTGTATATACCAGAAACAAACTTTAAGGCAGTCTAGACACAAGGAAAAAAAAAAGACAATTACATGTTTCATGACAAACAATGCACTGTGTATCCAATGTACCATATGCAAATGTGCACCCAGCCACATTTTCCGTGTCACTCTTCCTGCCTGTTGTCATCAGTACAAATAAATGTATTCTTTTGGTGAGTCAACATGGATTTCAGTTTACAAGGTGAAGTTTGAGTAGATGCAATAAAGAAGTAGAAACCCGAGGGAAGAAAAGAGCATCCAGAAAGGAAACAATAAAGAACCTACCGGGTTAAGCATTGCCATCGGAATTAGTGATTGCCAGGCAAGTGGAGAGTTGAGACATCACCACATGGGTGGAGCTTGTTCACATCCACAGGTGGAAAAATGTGGCTATGTTGTCAAGGGTCTTTTCTCTGTTGTGATTAGCACTGACCTTCATCGAAATGCCTTCCCATCTACAGTCTGGATCTTTATCCAAGTTGGGCGTGCCCACTAGTTCACACACCTGCGTAACCGGTTTCTTTCAAGCCGCAGACCACCACGGCTGATTCAGTGTACTGAAACTCCATTGTGTGGCTGAAGAGACACCGGTTGAGCTGTCGGTTTGCGTGCATGTCCTTTTTCACACAGAAATGAGCAAATTGAAATTAAATAGTCATACCAAAGTTCAAACTTGGTTTCATTGAACCACAAAACATTCCCACATATGTTTGAGAGACTTCCAGTGTGTTTTTGCAAATTTTTTAAAACCAAAATTGGAATTTCAAGCCACAATTCCAAATGGTGTGAGAAGTGCGAATATAAACATTATTCATAACCAAAAGAATCTCATAAATTTGCTGAAGCCTGGTGATGGCAGTATCAGGCTGTGAAGCTGTTTTTCTTCAGCTTGAGCTTTAGTCAAGGTGGAGGGAATTTTGAACAGTTCTAAAGTCAGTGTTAGCACAAAACATTCAGTCGGACGTTTGAGTAAAAGCCTACCACATCAGCTGAAACGTATTTGGGGTTAATCAGGGGCATATTAAATGGCGGCAGGTGTGCACTGAGTCCCATTTAACAAGAGTTCGAATGTGATTCGAAACATTGACACATTCCCCGGTGTGAAGTGGGCGTGGACACTTGGGCAACCACATTAGCTCAGTTGTTTATTTTTACTTACCCCCTGAAAAAGATTTCTTGGTCTCGTTTTTTGGTATCACAAAAACCTGGAATATGAATAGGGGTGTCTAAACAAACACGTACGCACGCGCGCGCATGTGGTGTATATATATATATAGAGAGAGAGAGAGAGAGAGAGAGAGAGAGAGAGAGAGCGAGAAGTGTGTGTGTGTGTGTGTGTGTGTGTGTGTGTGTGTGTGTGTGTGTGTGTGTGTGTGTGTGTGTGTTCTCACCATAAATCCGTTCTCTGTCCTCGATACTCCTTTATGTGCCACTTTGTGAAAACTAACAACAAAAACTACTGTTTTACAATGTCAAGTGCCATCAACTGCAGCCATCAGGGGGCAGCATAACAGTATATGTCGAGCAAATTTGGAAGATTGCTAGCTTGACTGCTTGTGCCTCACTCCTGTCGGAGTGTGTCCATCGCAATTTTGATTTAGTCGGAAACATTTTCAGACTGACTTTAAAACGTGCTTATAATGGGGGGAAGAAACAACATTATGCCTAAATACGAGACTTATTCAGATCCACCAATAAATACAATCATATACTGTACATATTGTGTATTATATTTAAGTAGAGTAGTTTATAAATAACCTAAATAAGCAAATACTACATGTGTCCTTGTATAAAACCTGAAACACTTGTTGACTCAGTTTGCATCGTAGCAGTTTCCTTTTCTGTCTGTTGATTACATGAAGGAAAAAACAAAAAATGTAACGTGACCAAGAAGGAAAAAAAAAAGAAAAGGTGAGAAACCGAAGGGGAAACTGAGGTTAATCACATTTAAAGTAAACGCTCTTCCTTATAAACCAAATGTCAAAAACCTCACTTGAGAAAAAAAAAAAAAAGAAGAGAAGCTGCCTTTGCCAAGTGGACAAATTCTGAAATGGAGGTGAAGCTCCTTCTGTGTAGAAGTAGGTGTCCCTAGCTGGGCTAAATTGATCTGCTTGATCAGAAATTGAGATCTAATAAGATCCACTATGACCTTTTTGGGACTTCAAGAAAAAGTGAAATATTCAGGGGCGGCACACCGCTTGACTGGTTAGCACGTGCGCCTCACAGTGCAGAAATGCAGCGTTTGATTCCAGCTCCGGCCTACCTGTGTGGAGTTTGCATGTTCTCCCTGTGGCTGTGTGGGTTTTCTCCGGGTACTCCGGTTTCCCCCCACTTTTCAAAAACATGCATGGCAGAATAATGGGACACGAGTTCCAGCAGCTCCTATTTATTTTGTTCTTCTACTTCTTCCTCTCATAACTTTGCTGATGTGAAGTGGGAATTTCTCCATTGTGAGACTATTAAAGGTTTTCTTATCTTATCTAAATTGTCCTTTGGTGTGAGTGTGAATGGTTGTTTTATCTATGTGTACCCTTCGATTGGCTGGCAACAAGGGAGTACCCCGCCTACTGCCCCAAGACAGCTGGGATAGGCTCCAGCACGCCCGCGACCCTGGTGAGGATAAGCGGATTGGATAACGGATGGATGGATGGATGAGAGAAATATTCAGAAACCATCTGAACAACAGTTATACATTTTTGTGCATTTGAACAGTATAGTATATGACTCAATTCCTTATAAAATTTAGTGGAAACAGAAGACAGACATGATCAATGAGTAAAAAAAAGAGGTGTGGTGTGAAGATAAGGTTGTGAGGTCTGATGTAGATATTCCATACAAACTGCACTTTGGGAAAAAAATGACCAAAAAAAAAATCAGAGTAATTAAATATGAATCATTTCCCCTCCCTGTCCAAAGAGGCACAAACACCAAAGAGCCACACAGACCCATCAGTGTCCAGATTATTGGGCCAAATCATGCTTTTCAAATAATTGCATTTATTTCATTTGTAATGAATAATTATTTTTGAAAAAAATGAATGAATGGACAAAGACCATTATTTTCGGAAGGTGACGACATTTCCTTCAACTTCTCTATAAACTGTTCAAAATGGTGACCAGATTCGGCTCTTCAGCATGCCCATATCCAACCTTCAACCCAATCTAATGGGTCAAAGTAATTCACACAATTACCCAATTAATCTTGGGTACAAGTAACTGCTCAAAAAAAAAAATCCGCAGCTACTCAGTGAGTGGGTGAGGAAAACAAAACCACCCACCATTTTGTGTGTGTGTTTCTGCATATATACAGTATATAGCAGTAGATCCTGAATGGTAAGTGCCATATTTTTGTGAAATGTATTAAATGAAAGCTTCAATCACATATTGTTTTATTTTACATCTGTTGTGGTGCTATGTGAAGGCAAAATCCTAAAACTTCTGACACTGTGCAAAGACTTGTGGAATGAATTGTAGGTCATGAAACATCATTCGAAACGAGATGAACGGGGGAAGTCCTCAAGTTTAGTGTCTCGTCCACACGTACAAATGTTCTGTGAAATCCCTTTGCAGAAGTTCTTTACGTCATATGCCTTGCTGAAGAGTCAATACAATGAGAGGGACAAGCAAAAGAGGAAGCTAAAATCTTGTTGGGACCTGTGAGTGAGCATTACAGCAACAAACGAGTCATGTGACGGGGAGGAGGGAAGTTCAGCAGTGGATGATTTTTGGAGAGCTCTTTGAAAAGCGAGCTGCCTCCTCTTTCTTCTTCTTACGACTTGGGCGAACACAAACACATCAAAGCCGCCGAGTCTCAGAAACAGTTTGGTTCGATTTTTCTCGAAGGTGCATGGAATAAGGGACTACATTGAAAGCTTTCGGATGATGACACTTTGGAACTGAATGATGACATCTGTGAAAGCACCAGGGATAGCTATGAGCAACAAGACACTTGCTCTCGCTCTTGTGCTTCTTTCTACCATCAGCTATGTGTCAGGTAACAATACTTTTTGTTATGTTCAAATATCTAATGTCTTACGTTTGATTTTTAATATTTAGCACTTTCCGTCCATTGTGGATGGTTTTAAAGTGCTCTCATAATAAAATTGAGTTTCAGTATTAACATACAGTGCATCTGGAGAGTGTTCACACTGTCGGATGTCCGGAATGCTCGGGACACAATTGGATTCCATATACGTAGGCCCAGACAAGGGAACTGACCAAAAAAAAAAATTAAAATAAGGCCACCAAAGTACCACGAAAGATGCTGGTAACAAAGAACCAGGAAAAAGTGAAAAGAAACCAAAAATGCTTGCAAAAGGCAAGGACCGAGAAAAATGTAAATAGCATGTCAAACTCAAAGGTCAAGGAAATCCAATACGAGAGAATACAAACGGAACTATAACAAGAACTACTTATGTGCAATGATACTTCGAAAAAGCCAGGCAAGAATCCACCAGGCAAAATGTCAAGAACGTCTAGAAAATGAAGCACTCGGAGACCGAGTCGTGAGCAAGGCTCATAATCAGACAGGTAACAAGGCCGGATTCAAGACAAGTGCGACTTGTGGAGGAACGCCCACTCGCCAGCTGGAGACGAGACAGGATCATCACACACACTTTCGCAATGCTTCACTTTTGCCATTATTTATAATGTTAATCCAATTTCCATCATGCAGCAATATGTTTTTAATCCTTATTAACATATACTGTAAATGCTTTAGAAGTTTCTACAGTGCAAAATCAAAGATGTAAGGAGCTCCTAAAGTACAGATGTCAAACTCCGGTCCTCGAGGGCCACTATATTGTATGTTTGAGAGTCATTTTTGTCGGGGGTGACGTCTTCCCTCGGAGGGCTTGTTATGACAGTGAAACTGAACAAATGTTTCATCATCTCATGTTTATTACTTGTATATGACAAATGGATGGATTAAGAGTGTTGAAATCACTTCACGATTTGCTGTTTGCTCAATTATTTTTCAAGCGATTGTAAACAGGGTAATAAAATTGTGACAAAATTTCAACATTATTTATTACCCATGATAATTTGACATTTTGGTACAGATTTTAACAAGTGTCATGGAAGGTGACACACATGATTTGCTTTCGCGGGCCACATAAAATCACATGGCGGGCCAAATTTGACCCATGGGCCTTGACTTTGACACCTGTGCCCTAAAGGAACATGGGGGTAAACTAACGATAAAGTACCGTATTTTTCTCATGTGCACCAGAAAAAGTTTTCTTGTGAACATCGAAAAGTTTTTGGTATATTCGAGAAAACTTTCTGGTCCACTCATGACTTTCCTTGTGATCTGATTATTTTTTATTTTTTTTAATTCTCTTGTGCTTTGATATTAATTGAATATAAAACGTTGATTTCTGTTTTTTTCTTCGTAATACAGGAATGGGTGTCCCTCAGATTGACGCACTGTCTGTGAACATTCTGGATGGCGAGGTGGTTGTCCATTGGAATCAACCCCGAAACACCACATCTGACATCCGGTACAATGTGCAAATGGCAAAGTAGGTTTTCCATTTTAAAAATACTTTGACGTGACATCCTAGTCACTGAGATCAGTGTATTTTCATGTTAAGTTAGTATTTAAGTTATTGACAGATGTGATTTGTGCTATCAGGCTCACCGGTGAATGGGTGATGGTGCGCAGCTGCACAGGGATTACAAATACCTTCTGCGACCTTAGCACACTCATACATGACTATGTAGGTGGCTATAAGGTCAGGGTTCAGACGGTAGCCAGAAACAACACGTCACTGTGGACGGTGAAGAAATTCCTCCCAAATGCAAGTAAGCAACACGATGTTGTCGTATGTTATGTTGTGGAAGCCTTTACCAAACTTAGTTTCAGGAGCCAACATTGCTCCAGGATCAGTTATTGAATAATTTAAGTTGTTAGTTCGAACAATCTAACTTCATCTTTTCTTAACTCACAGGCAACCTGCAAGCTCCTTCCTTCACGTTATATGCTACCTCCAGCACGATAAAAGTCCATGTTCATCAAAAACCTATCCTCAAAAAGCTCTTTCCCTATGGGGTTACTTACATCATCCACCTGGAGGAAAAAAACAGAAACGATGAAGTGAAAGTAAGTTTTGAAAAGCTACAAAATGAGTGACAAAATGATGCAGCGATCTTATCGGCATTCTAATTTCACAGGAGACAATAGCATACCTGACAGATGCTGTGGATCAGGGGTCTAAAACTTTCAAATCTCTCCGGTGGGGAGTCGAATACTGCGTCAGTATCATGGTGGAGGGAAATGGTGCTTTATCCAGGAGCAATTTATCCCCAAAGCAATGTCTACTGCTTCCAGAGCGAGGTGAGCAAAACAATATGGCAAAGGATATTTTTTTTTACCCCATATCAAATTACTCTCACCATCATAAAATCTATTGTACTCTATCGTAATTGTTAACATTATTAACTGCTATAAACTATCAACATAATTTAAACACTGTATAATAAAACTAAGTAAAACTGGAATACAATAAACGACTCACCCTATTTTTCTGTTAGCTTGTTGCTGAGTGACCTTGCTAGCGCAGAAACTCAACAGCTCATGTTAACATCAAAGTTTGAAAACAAAGTTCTGTTCTTCACTGTTTTTAACTTCCTAAATATACAATTTCCATCAAATTGATTTATGTAACACAATGTAAAAAATGCTTTTGAGAATATGTATTGGTTTAGTCCTTATTTATTGTTCCAGGGTACAAGGCAGCGGATTTCGCTTTTGAATTTGTTGAGTGAAAAATAACTACTGTGCAGCTGGCTTTTCGGCAGGAAGTCGTCGTCGTATTTTTCACGAATAGTCCGAAATGGACTCTCCACATTTCCCTTCTTTGGTATTGCGATGGTAGACTGGCAGATGAGGCAAACATACTTCGAAAATGACACCTCCCATTCCGTATGAAAGTGATATGTTTTTGCCTTCTTATTTGGTCCAGCTCCCTCACTCATTTTAAGGACCATAAGCTTTAGCAAGGACTTAAAAGGTAATTCGCTGACTAGCTTGTAAATTTTGCTGTGCTTAGCGCCATTGTTTACGAATACGCGTTGACCTAAATTCGACCTAAATGGTCAAAATTCAGTTGTCATCTGACTGGTTGCCCTGTACTGTATATCAATCAAGTGACAGAATGGAATAGGAATTTTTAATGTCCGCAATCAACCGGTAGATAGCGATCGACATAATGAGCATCCCCGCTCTCATTTATCTTACCATCTCGAGCTATGCTAACAGGCTAGTGGAGCAATTGCTTCTTGTCTTACAAAGACCTTATTGTATTATGAAACACATTTCAGTTGAGACGAACATTTAAAGTAAACCATTTGTGCTTCTTTCCAGAATGGTTCATAATTTCGGTGTCATCCCTGACGGTTGTGGGCGTGTTGGCTGTGGTCACCATTTTGGCAATCGGTCTGCTTTGTCACCTGAAACGTCCAGCGAAAATGCCTGCTGGATTGGTATGTAAACAGAAAACATTCTCACAGTTTATGCCAGGTGACCATATTTTGGCCGTTAAAAAAATGGGTGAGGGGCAGGAGAGTCCTCAAAACACCTCTTGCTATACAAGGGGTCCTTACGTGGCCACTTTCGAATGCCTTGTTGTCGCGGCATAAAAAAAGCCATGCAACAACACGGTGGGGGAAAACCCCCCACGGAGTCTGAGAGTGGAAAAGTTTCATAATTTTAGAACCCTCATTTTATATGTTTGGTTACATTAATCATTCAAATTTTGCAGGCTTGTTAAGAACTCTTCAACCCTGTGCTGTTTCAAATTTATCCATCCATCCATTATCTAATCTGCTTACCATCACGATGGCTGTGGGTGTGGTGGAGCCGATCCCAGCCATCTTAGGGCAGCAGGCGGGGTACACCCTGAACTGGCCGCCAGCCAATTGCAGGGCACACAGAGACAAAGAACCATTCGTGCTCACAGTCACACCTCGGGACAATTTAGTGTTCAATCAACCTACTATGCAAGTTTTCGCCATGTGGGAGGAAACCGTAGAAAAGCTGCACAGGCACGGGGAGATCATACAAACTTCACATAGGAAGGCCGGGGCCAGATTCGAACCAACGACATCTGCACTGTCAGGCGGACATGCCAACCAGTCGACTACCATGCTGCCCATGTCAAATTTAGGAGACATTTATTTTCACTTTACACGGACTTTAATGCTGTATAAAGGCTCGGAGAGGTGATTTTCTGAAGAGGGCGTTTAACTTCAATTAAATTCCCTTCTAATCTCAATCAGAGGCTATGACATGTGAGAAGTGGATGATGTGTAGTGGTGACAATTAAAAAAAAAACAAAAAAAAAAAACAGCAGAGTTAAATATCACAAAGGCCACAATTTGAATATTAACCAAGGCTCGTTCTCTCTTCTCTCTTACTAGAAATCCCCTGTGCATGGCTGGCATCCCCTCATTTTCACAGAAGGGCCAATGGAAATGGTCACAGACAAAGGTTGGTTCCTCTCCAGTAGCAGAAAGGAAACGAAAAGCTCTGAAGAAATCCCTCAAAACAAGGCTGCGCTTGGCATTTTGAAAAATCACGACGACAGGACGAGCCTGGACAGCGGTGTTAGCATGGGGTGCAACGCTACAGAAAAACAAGAAAGAAGCCAACACCGCAGACAAGAGGATAGCGGTTGTGGGAGCATGGGAGGGACGGTGTATCCCCATCGGGATGACACAGTTCAGATGAAGTGGAAGGACAGCGGAGCGGGACTCGGCTGCCGATTGGAATCCACTACCGTGATCGCAATGGGACAGGAGAGTGGATCCCTCAAAGAGTTTGACAGTTATCGCAGGCAAAGCCCTGCACTGCAGAGTCATCACGACGAGGTGTCGAAACAGATCCTTCCGAGTCCACTTTTGGCTGTCGTGGTCTCGGGCTATCGTGCGGGACCTCAGTCATGTATCTGCTCCGGTGCAGCTCAGTGCTCCTGGTGCCTGAAACGCATCGTCCACGAGGCTACAGCGATTCCAAAGCACATAAGCCACCCGAGCATAGAAGATTTTTCAAAAAGGACGCAGGCAGAAACAACAGATGGTTTCCCTTTGTTAACAGCCCTGACACAAGGGATGGACCTTAACATGAAAACTGTGGCCATTTCGCTTTGTGACTTGCAGCTGGATACTGACTGATTCACTATCGGGACACCTTTCAAAATATACTGACAAAAATAGATGCTGCTTTGGAATAATACTCCCTTTCCCCTCTGAGTAAGTTGTGGGCGAGGGATGGAGGATGATGAAGGGGGAAAAAAAATGTGTGAAGGAAATACAAGCAAAAACATGCTTATAGGAAGGAAATGTAAAAGTTAAGGCGCTTTTCAACAGAATGTCTCGCATCTGCCGAAAGGGAAGTGGGCCGGAAGTGAAAGCATTGTGGAAATTTACGCAGATAACATGTGTGACGGTTTGTTTCTTGGGTCTTACCTCAACTCTCACAGGCAGAAACTGCAAGAAGTGTTTTGACATTGCATTTTGCTCAAGATCAATTGACGTGTCAGGGCCACACATGATGGCAGAAACATTTCCCTTCTTCCAAAGTATACTTAACCCTTACGTACAGTTTGGGGTCACATTTGACCACTTTTAACATTTGACCGCAATAAACATACCCTAAGTGTCATTCTTTCACTCTGAAATTCGTTTTTTTTTCTAAACTGACCCGATAAAAATGAAACTGTTTCAAAATTCTATTCCCTGCTAAAAATGTTTAGATACGCTGAGTGTTTTAAATGGAAGCCATGTGAAATGAAAAGGCCTAGATGTGTTGTATTCAAGGACAGGGAACGTGAAACACAAACTTGCAATCCCACTCGCAAATCCTCCACGGGGAAACAGAGAAGTACTTTTGAGTGTCACTTGAGGAACTGAATTTGGACCCAGAAGTTGACAGGAGACGAAAGTGGCGAAGTTGCTGGGCTGGACGCGGCAGTGCATAAAAGGCTTAACGTTCTAAGAACGAGTAACTCAAGTTTATATAGAGACAAATAAGCCCAACCCGGTGTGACCAAAGAAACAAACAACGTCAAGGACACAAAGAGCCAAACTCTGTCACATCTATCTGTAAAAAATGGCTATTCCTCAATAAAATGCTCTACTATCAAACGCGTGCATTTCCATGAGGAGTAGCCATTTTTAGGGAACTCTTAATCTGATGTGCTTTTAAAAACACACCTATTTATTATTTTTTTCCCAAATGTCAAGAACATTTGTAGTCACCCTGTATATACTTGAGATTAACTGTAACTATGTCTCATCATTCTTTGTTTGAAATATTTATTTATTTTTTTTAAATACAAGCCATGTGAACTGAAAATGCCTTGATGTGTTCATTTCACGCTGACACGAGACACTGAACATGACTTCGCCCCATGCAAATCCTCCCACAGAAACATCAATGCGGCTTGAGAGGATATCATTTCCTCTTTCAAGAAACAGCTTGTTTTAAAAGAAGTCAACAGACTCATCCCATGTAGAGCAAAAAACATTTTATTACTCATGCAGATTTTTCAAATATTATTGGCCATAAAAAGCAAGTACCCTTACGGTTAGATTAGTTTACATTGTACATTTAATCCTCGTAAAAACAATTTGTGGATTTTTTTTTTTCACGAGAAATACTATGACACAAACAAAAAGTAATTATCTATTTTAGAAATGTAAATGAAAATAAAATAATTTGGATAGGTGTTTTTAAAAAGTGCAACTACGATGCCTTTATTTTAATAAAATAACATTTCATATTTTAATTACATTAATCATAGTTCCAAATAGGTATATACATACACAGTGGTACCTCGGGAAAAAAAAAAAAGTTAAATTTTATCCATGACCCCACTCATAACTCACAAGTCATATCTCAAATCATCGTTGCTCATTAACTTTTATGGAAATGCCATTCATCCCCATCAGCCACCCTCCCCCTGAAAACAACAAAATTGTTTCTAATCCTTTTCATAGCACTCATTTTGTACTTCATCAAAATGCTCAGTAATTACATAATTAAATAGAATGTAAAGAATTCAACATTTTTTACATATATATATTTTTTTGTTTCAATTCAACGGACATTGTGCTGCTCCCTCTGGTTGTGTGTGCTTTAGCCACCCATACAGATACATAGTACAGGGAACCAGTCAAAACTCCCCAGCAAGCTGCAGTAATACAGCATCACTGTTCCACTGTTTTCAAATATCCATTGCTTAAAAGGTTATAGCAGCAAGACACCGATGCTAATCATTAGCCCGTCTATGGCGTTTTATATTGTGTGTTAGTATGAGGCTAGCGGCCATTCCGAAGGCAAAGTTACTTGTTCTTTTAATGTGTAAATGTGTGTGTGTGTTTTTAACGATGTACTACCACCGTGTTAATGGAGCATTCCACTCTGCATTTTAAGTTAAAATTAAAATAGAGTAATACCTCCCACTTGAAGTTATAAATTAAATCATCGTTATGACTGTTTTTTTTTTGTTTTTTTTGCAATGAAGATCTTGTTGAAGACAGAAAGCTATGACCTTTGGAGATGGTGTTTTTTTTTGTTTTGTTTTTATCAGCCAAGGTATCTCAAAACATTTTTCAGAGTCATATTATGAGAAAAGCCATGAGTCATTGAAGTTTCACTAATATATCAGAAAGGGAGCAGAAGTGTTAAAGTTGGAGGTGAACAACTTCCTGTTGCTTCCGTTCTCCAGCTTTATCAACTGAAACACACTTCATTTTTACCAATGTGGTTGTTACATTTTCTTTGACAGTAAACCCTCGCTATAACGTTCATTTTTCGCGAAATTTTTTCTGTGCATTTAATTTTTTTCACACGACATTGTGTTCTGCATCCTTATTGGCTAAGGGACCAATATCATTAGTCTCCGCGCCTCATCGTAGTCGTCCTATTTTCAAAACAGGCAGGGAGTTTATACACAGGAGAAAGTTGCAGTACACCGCGACATTTAACTGGTCATATCATACAAATTGTCCAGGCAACTTTTATGGTGAATTCCCTTTCATTCCCTTCAAATATCAATCATAATAATTTGGAAAATCTCTTTTTTTTTCCTTCCAATGACAAAGACAGGTCATTTTTTGAAGCCGCTAATGGTGAAAGGAGGGGGAGACTTTTTTAAGCCCACTTTGCTGCGGAGAGAAAGTGACAAATGCTCAGTTGTACTCATGCATATCAAACCCTTTGAAAAATAATTTTATTTATGCATGTAATATACTCACATGAGCACTCTGTCTGTCAGCGGGCGTTCTGAAGAGACAAAACCAACGTTCTCATGTGATCTTGTGAGAACAAAAGCGAAGAGGAAAAGGGGTTTCCTGCTCACTCACCTTTCTTCTTGCAGCAGTTTTTACAGGATTTGCACTTGTACTTGTAGCAGAACTGCACAATGGCGATGGTGAAGAGGATGGCGAGGATGCCAAAGCCCACAGCTACTCCCACCGCCGTGGGGTTTACCCTACTGCCTGACAACACACACACACACACACACACACACACACACACACACACACACACACACACACACACACACAAATGATACATTCGCGAGAGAATTGCTCGATTGCTTGCTCTGTTTTGAGTGACGCTGTCAAAGAGATATGGATTCATCAAGTTGGTTATTATTTGGATTTTAATCCGCAGTGGTTAAGTGGTGCAAGAACTGCATCGCGATTTAGAAACCCAAACAGATCCTACACTATCCCAAAGCAGATAGTTGCCAGGAGCGTTGATTTACTCAACTGCAGTCTATTTGAAGAGAAGAGGCCTTGATTTGATTACCGCATTTCCTCCAATATAGAAGTCGCCACTTTAATAAGACATGTCCCAATTGGTCGTTGGGTACACGATCCACTTATGACAAATACCTCCTTCAAGTAGAGAAATGAGAGACTGCCGTTATCAGCTTCATAGATGCTATCTTCATCAAGAGACACAAATTGAGCTAACAGTTGCTAACTCAAACAGTAGTACCTAGCTAGGCCTGCCATTTTACAGTAAAGCACCCTTTATGACAGGTGTTACATTCCAGACCCACCCACGATTGGTGAACACAATATTGAGAGTGCATGCAATTATTTTGTAATACTGTAGTTTTAACCCTCCACCATGCTTTGAACACACTTGAACTTATTAAAACACACCCCTCGTTTTACTGTAAACATTACAACGACAATTAAACATTGTATCATGAAACACCCAAATCTTCCATTGATCCATGCGAATTCATCGACCACAGTGGCTCGCAAACTTTTTTACCACCGTAATTGACCAACGTTAAAATACAGTGGCGAAGTAGAACTGGAACATGCACAGTTTCAACCATTTAATTCAGTGAATCTTTCGCATTCTACTTGACAAGAGACGACGCACGTACCACTTGGGGTACACCTTGAGAATCACTAAATTCCAATAACAGGCCTCTAGCTTAATGCTAACATATAATGCCAAATAGGGGCTAACAGTAGAACATTGCGTGGACTAATGCTATTGCTCACAGGCAGTGGCAGTCGTAAAATAAATGGCGCCCTGCGTGTGTGCTACTTCAACATTTCTGAGCAAAAACCTGAAAAGCCCCTTATGTCTCCACAAGGGGGCGCAGAATTTCATCAAACCACTTCACGTACCAAGCCGCCCTGTACGGCCACACAGATTGCACATACGACAAACTGCCAATGCCCGAATGCATACACTGTATTGTTTCTGCTCTGTGGTAACAACTATCGCTACCTTCTCTCCCTCTTCTTCTTGCGTTTCATTACACTGCATCTCTTGCCGTAGAACCCAGTGCTTCCCTGCACGTTGTGGCACAGCAAACACTGAAGGCACACAACTCGAAATTCAGACTTGCCTGTACGTATATTATAAAACCCCATGAAAAACACGTTTTCTAAAAATCTGCGGCATAGACACGATAAATTAATCATCATATCGTGGATGAGATCAATTCGTGTTTGAAAATGTACCACATTTTGTCAACAAGTTCCCCGCACAGCATTAGAGATCTAATCTTGCGCTATGTGGCACTTTTAAGTGACGTAACCGTTCCGGGAAATTTTGATGTGATCATTTGACATTGCTAGGAGACACAGTATGTGTCTACTGAGTCAGCCTCACTTTTTGTGATGTGACTGCATTTTATAACCGTCCTTTTTATTTTGTCTGAAACTACACTTGAATCTGGGCCTCCCACATTTCAAAAACATGCATGGCAGGCTGATTAAACAGTCTAAAATTGTCCCCAGGTGCGAGTGTGAGTGTGGATGGTTGTTCGTCTCTGCGTGCCCTGCGATTGGCTGGCAAATGGTTCAGGGTGCCCCCCACTGACTGCCCGAAGACAGCTGGGATAGGCTCCGGCCCCCCCCCCCCCCCGCGACCCTTGTGAGGATAAAGCGGATCGGAAAATGGATGGATGGATGGATACACTTTAATCTGGCATAAATTGAAGTACACAGCAATTTGCTTAATAGTATTTGAAAAAAATACCATGCCCAACACAATAGATGCCAACCCCTGTCAGCCGTTCAGTAATTAAATGCCCACGGCGACCATTTCTGGAAATGCTGCTTATGGATCACACACTTGTCTATTTGCATTAGATTCGTATTGGATATTTAATATAATAACAATAATAATAATGATTTTTTTTAAAGACAAGTATAGGATATACTTGTTACCTCTCTGACATGGTCAATAAAAACTGAGCATTATCATTATAAAGCGGGATGTTATCTTACTGTTGAAGTCATAATTCACATTCATTTAGGTGACTGTCTCAAAAAAGTGTACCATTACACTGTCCACATAACTATCCAAAATCTCAGTAAAACTTGTTGAACATCAAAGAAGTGCGTCAGAGTCCCGCCATGTGATCACACGACACGAAGAAAAAAAAAAACAAGTCCAAAGCATTGTCTTACCATTATTGCCCATCGCGGAGGACCTTGTGAACCTTCCGATGTCGCCTCTCCTCGCTTGACTTCAGCAAAGTACCTATCCGATAAGCGATTGATCAGTTTTTAAAGATCAAAACCGTATTTGGGTTCTGTGCTTCCTCCCTACATCTTAGGTCTGAGTGTTGGTGTTCCCCATAGCTGGCATTTTTTTAAAACCGGTCCATCTGCTTTGTTGTTGTCATGTTCCTTCCTTTCACAAGATAATGTAGGAGGTGGAACACGCTCCTTTGTTGTGATTGGCAACTTTCTTGACAATTCAACCCATTATACCAGGTAGCAATATTTAATTCACTCATTTGGAGCTCTCACATGAGCATAAACTCAATTCTCTTCTGTGCATGAATTCACTTTCTCAAGTTTGAAACAAATTCCGTTTGGAAGGGCTGTGGGGACACTGAAGCTATCTTAAGATGTCATATAAAAAAGGCCATTAGCATTAGCCCAACATTTGTTTGGAATTAAATTATAAACACAACTGAGTGTGCAAGACGGAAACAATATTAAAGCAAAAGTGAGAAGAAAAAAATCGTGTTAACCCGTTAGTGTTGTGTGCATTTGTGATGTTTTTTTTTTTTTTTACAACTACCTGTAGACACAGATAAAATGATTTTTTGCTAAATCAGTGGGTTTGTTGAGGTACATTTCCAGGAAAGACTATGACATTTAAAGTCATAAAATGTGTACCTGAAAGATGATGTCATGGAGTATCAGTGTCGATCACTGAGTTTGCATGATGTGCACAGCAGAACACTTTCCATCCCTCGGGTGACAGCAACTGACTTCATCTCATGGCGAGGGGGCAGCTGATAACATCATTACCAAAAAAAAAAAAAAAAAAAAAAACCTCTCAGCTGGTATAGTGAATAATAATAATGATTATAATAATAAAAAAAACCCAGAATCTGCACTTTTTATGTGAACACGTTCCTTATAAGTAATATACATGTTTTCTAAATTTGACACACCACTGAGAAGAGTGTTATTAACAATCCTGTTGAATTTGAATGAAAAAAAAAGTTTATAAAATGAGGCAAAAGAAAGCTACTGTGTCCACTCTTCAATGCTGTGGGCGTGTCCGCCAGAGTTGCGGTGGCCATTGGGAAATTGTTGTTGACATCTAAAATCAATGTCACCACTTATTGGTTAGCATTTGGGGCCTTACCACATCAAGAGAAACAAATGCTCGGCCTCTCCATTGCCAATTCCTGGGCTGAATTTCAGGCCGAGTACCTTCCTGGTGTCTGAATGTGTGAAAACTCGACAGTCAGCTGTTAGCGAACGTAAATTTGCTTAAAGTCATCAGGTCATGGCTGGGCTTTTCTATGCTGCAACAATGGAGGCACTCTAAAGTGGCTCAGCCTTTGTCCACCAGATGGCTGTTACATTCTGTTACTTCTGCCTTCTTTTTGTGACGTGCATGCACTCATGGCCAACGATAGAGGCACTCAACAGCGGCCATGCTAGTGAAAATTATTAATTCTGTAGCTTCCCAACTGAGTACGACATAGCACCTTTCCAGTAATTATTTTCAAACATGTATCTGGAAATAAATCTCCGAATTCACTTTCGGGGTACTTTCGGTATGGGATGTGAATACTTTAGCTTTCTCTGTAAATGACTACCACGAAATATTGAGTTGGCCTCGCTTGAACTTGTCTTTTGTGTTTATCTAACATCCAATTGTGTGGAGCTGCTTCTTCTCAATTTGATTGTTGAACTTTTGGTGAAGACACACTCCAGCTGTGACATCAGGGTGGGACAAGATGCATTCTTTTGACTGCAGGTGAGGTCAAATGAGCTTTTAATCATTAACCAGTGCTGTTTTCAAGCTAAGCTGCACTTCCTCATGCGGCTCTAAGGACGGCTGTCCAATTACACAAAAGGCATGCCTGGGCACGGAGATGTTGGTCAAGCGATTTAAGTGGTGAATGTGCTGTCTGTGTGTGTGTGTGTATGTGTGTGAGCTGTGTGTGAGGTGTGTGCGTGTTGCAGTGGAGAGTACATAAGCGGCTCCGTAAGGAACCGGGAATATTTACGCTCACAGGTTCAAGCTTTGGATATTGATTGGACGAGTCACAGCGGACCGTTTGTGACATTGCAAGTAAGGATGTATAAGCAGATTAATTTATTGGATCGAGTGTTTTTTGGGGGGAGGTGTTGGTGGGGGGTATTGTATAAAAAGGAATTTTATTGATCATTGAGTATTTTCATGGTAAAGGGCTTTTGCATCATTATTTGTTGCAATAAATCCAAGTCGACTGAGTTATTAGTTATTCTGTCTTTGGATTGAAAAGGTATTTCACATTGTTTTGTGTGTTATGTATGCAGAAAAAAAGGCCTTTGTTCGATCCTTGATACATTTCTCTTTTAATGAGTCAATATGCCAGTCATGCTTATCAGGGTTTCCGATAAGGCGGCCCACAGAATGGTGTTTTATATACTGCTGTGTATCAAAGGTTATATGGGTTCGTTCATCTGAAAGTTTTGATGCAAGTGCCTTCGCACCAACACCGTTGACTTATTTACTAAATCCATTTTTTTTCTTAAGGTATTTTATAGTCTAAAACTTCAAACATATTCAATTGCTACGAATAACAATGATCATTGATTTCTATTTTCATTTCATATTTTGTGGAGTTTTCTACTTTTCGTCTGTTTCGAAGAACTAAGAATCAATCCAATTCACTATTTTTCACTTCGAGCTCAGCTACTAGGTAATTCAGTGATATTTGTTTACAAGCTACCCAAAGTGTTATGACGTTAGCCAAGCGTGTTTAAATTCTGTCTTTTTCTTAGCAACTGCATCTCTTCAAGTTTGCTGGGCAAGTTTGTTGAAAAAATGTTTGTTTTGGTGGGGTTTCGTTCTTTTGCCTCCTGAAGCTATTAAGCAGAGTGAAAACAATTTGCTCTTTAAAATACCGCTGAGAGTTTCCTGAAGTTTCTTGAAGTCGGCTAAGCAAGTTTAACATTTTAGAGATGCTGCGCCTCCCCTGAGACATGCAAAAAATTTTATTTATTTTAACAAGTGCCATGATTGTGACTTTACCCCCTAGGATGTAAGCACTACAGAAAAAAAGTCTAAATACCCTCCACAAGGCCACTGGAGGTTGACAAGCTTGACACACTAAGCACAGTCACGTCATGTTTTTATCGCAGGCTGTAAAATCTCTTAAAGTGCATTCTGTGGATCATAAACGCAATTCAAAGCACCTCTCGTCTATCTACATGCATTCATAAGTTTGGATTTGAGTGCAAAGGTTCAGCGACTTTAATAGTTCTGGTAAAAGAAGCATAACGCAGCTCCTGTTTCTGACAATGACGCTTTCTCTCCACCTCTTATCGGTCCGTCTCTCATACGGAAGAGAGAAAGACAGAAATATTTGAATTGCAAATTAAAGATGAGCACACATAAAGAGTGTGATCAAAAACTTAAAATATCTTATTTCCTAATTAAAATCAAAACCAAAAATGTTATCAAATGTCAACACTGAAAATTGCATTGTTGTATTGAACTGAGATGTTTGGCAATTAGTGAGACAATTAGCTTGAGCTTCACTGAAGGTCTTTTGTCACTTTTGGTGCCAGGGAGGCAACTGCTGTGATCGAGCTTAGTTTACTTTATTTTTCCATGAGATAAAGAAGGTGGAAGATTTTAAGTACTTCGGGTCATCTGTCCAGAGCAATGGAGAGTGTGGAAAAGAGGTGAAGAAGCGTCTACAGACAGGCTGGAACGGCTGGAGAAAAGTGTCAGGTGTGATATGTGATAGAAGAGTTTCAGCTAAGATGAAAGGAAGGGTGTATAAACCTGCAGTGAGGCCAGCCATGCTGTTTAGACTGGAGACAGTGCCACTGAAGAAATGACAGGAGGCAGAGCTGGAGGTAGCAGAGATGAAGATGGTGAAGTTCTCTTTGGGAGTAACCAGGTTTGATAAGATCAGGAATGAGGGACAACTCATGTGAAAGGTTTTGGAGAGAAAGTCAGAGAGGCCAGACTGAGATGGTTTGGACATGTCCAGAGGAGAGAGGGTGAACGATGCTGAGTCTGAAACTGCTCGGCAGGAGGCCGAGAGGAAGACCAAAGAGGAGGTTTATGGATGTGGTGAAAGAGGACATGAAGGTGGCTGGGGTGAGAGAAGAAGATGCAAAAACAGTGTTAGATGGAAACCACTGATTCGCTGTGGCGACCCCTGAATGGAAAAGCCAAAAGGAAAAGAAGAAGAAGATTTTTGCATGGATGATGCTTTGTAAAATATTGTGAAATACTGTACCTGTCCCCACTGTTATCTTACGAGATTGTTGTCGTATACTTACCGTTTGGGGGCATATTTCCAGCGCCTTGATTGCACTTATAGTGCTGAGCATGCTGTGAGACGTGTCACGACTCACAGTGTGAGTCATACATTTGATACCAGCTGATTTGACAGTCAAAACATTACAGGCAAGAAAATGGGCGTGAAGCTTTGTGTGCTTGTGTGTGTGTGTGTGTGTGTGTGTCGGGCGTGAAGCTATGTGTGTTTGTGTGTGTGTGTGTGTGAGTCTCTGCGTGTGTGTGCATTTGTCTGCATGTTTGTGTTGATGCGTATGTGAGATTTTGATGTGGTTTTAGTTTGTCGTATGATCTGGGGTCATTTTCAGGAGACAAGTCGGGAGCAATCCATTATACCAAGCGGTGTCAGCATTGTGTGCCCATAGGTGAGAAATAGCTACGTGGTTGGATGTCTGGGTACAGTTTGGAAAAGTCATGATGATGTACAAAGAAGACAATGGGGAAAAGACAGGAATTTGTCCAGCGTGCTGGGAGGGTAGGAAAGGTTTGGAGAGGGCGGATTGTGTGGGAGGGACTTAAGTGAGAAAGGCGCACAGGTAGGAATTGAGAGAAGCGGTTTCAAGTGTCAGGTTACCTGGAATAGTTTTTGTTTGGTATGCTAACAGGGCTCGGTCACAGGTCTCTGACTTTCTGAATCAGCGGAGCTTCGAAACCCAACGCGACACAGAACTTTATGACGGGCCTGAGGTTGCAGAGAGGCCCAAGTCAGACAGACGCCCTTCCAGCGGGTATCCGTTACAGTGCTGTAGAAAGACAAGAGACAGAGAAAGAGAGAGGAGGCACACAAAATCAAGTCAGTCTTTGGAGTTGAAGTGAGGCAAAAGAGAGGAAGGAAACGCGGCATTTTTGGTGACCTGTGAAATTCTCAGCGTGCGCTACCCCTGAGGGAGGTTCTGTGGACAGTTTAGGACAGACAGATCGCTGCATCATGTGGGTGAGTATAAAGCTGAAAGTGGAAATTTGTTGACAAAAAAAAAAACCCAAAACAAAACAAACCCACTGTATTAATCTTTATCAACCGGTTTGTTCACAAGCACGTAACCACAAAAGTGCTGATGGTTTTTGTGCGCTCAACCGGTCCCTAACACGGACTAAACGGCAAATGCTGGTTCACAGCAGTTGAAAATAAAATCTACCTGCCGCTAAGTTGTTAGCCGTGAGTTATGTTTTAGCAGACGTTTCCATATGGTGCCTTTTTTTTTATGCAACGAAACACATTTGAATTGTGTATCAGTCGACTGCGTTGAGTGGTTTAAGTAGACGTTTGCGCATGGTGCCTTTTTACGCTCCTAAACACAGCTGTCTGAAATTGGTGTCGATTAGTGGAGGTTTGCAAACGTCATGTTTTCCTTTTGTTAAGTGATTGTTATGCATGCGCATCTCCAATAAAAGACAACTCGATACGTGGGGGGCACGATACGATTCAAGAAAGGCACATGATTAGATTCGGATGGATTAGGATTCCACTGTGCGCATCTCCAATAAAAGACAACTCCATACGTGGCTTGATACGTGGGGGGCACGATACGATTCAAGAACAGCACATGATTAGATTCGGATGGATTAGGATTCCACTGGAAGGCAATACGATTCAAGGAACGTACACTTTAAAATGCAACTTTTTAAAAATGCAACAATTTGATTTTGATGATGTTCCCTTCGAGGTTTGCCTATCATACCTTTTGAAGTTGTGAATTAAAAAGGTCTTAATTCATGAATTAAAAAATATATATACCAATTAATGTCAATAAGAAAGTTTCTGAGCTTGATAAGGTGACAACCAAATTCTGGAGGGCCAAAAAAAGACGCCAACGAGAGACTAATAGTGCACACACACACACACACACACACACACACACACACACACACACACACACACACACACACACACACACACACACACACGCATATATCCAATATGTTGTTTCGCATGTTTCACTTCCAATTCGTCAAGGTTTCTCCAATTCACAAACAGGCAAAGGCTTTTAGATGTGACCTACATAAAAGTAAGCTCTTTGAAAAACTGAAACGCATGACTCATCACCTCTACCTTCAAATGGAAAAAAAAAAAATCTGCTTTTATTTCATTGTCCTCATGACAAAGTCGTAAAGGCATGCACCATCAACGCTGCTTCAACGGAATGTGTGCGAATTAGATTATGGCTGTTAAAAAAAAAAAGGCTTTGCATCCACTTTTTTTTGGGGGGGGGGGGCTCATCATCATTAGGGTCACAGGTGAGCAGGAGATAATCTCAGTTTATTTTGGTGAGGTTGCCAACCAATCACCAAAAAGAACATGAAAAAAAAAAAGCAATACGTTATTAAAAAAAAATGATATTTACAATTATTATCTAAATGTCAATAGAAAACTGATAGGGTAGGAACCCAAATTCTACTGGACCTTTGAGTCTTTTCAGAACTGTACGGCTTACATTACAGTTCCATAATTAGCTCTGTGGGTATTTTAGTGTATATTGAAACACAAATTGCCTCAGAGTGTGGTCCTCTTTCTGTGACACTTATTATTACATGTTTCAAGAGTCTCTCATCACAAACCTAACAGAAGATTTAAATCCGTGTGTGTAACAATCCAGTCTGTGTCAAAAGATACATACACTGGAGCTCTTTTTGCGGCAAGTAGTCACAGTTGTGGATTAATCCTTATCATTACCTCTCCGAAAAGCTGTAGAACCATACGATCTCAACAAATGACCTGCAAAGAGTTCTTGGACCAAAATTGCAACCCTGAGTCAAAATTGATGTTAAAATTGCACTGAAATGTACAGTCATGAAGGAAAACGACAGATCGTTCTCATGAATGTAGCGTTGATGACTGAAGATTTTGGACAGAAAATAAGTTATATGGTATCAGAAAAGACCTGATCAAAACCGTTCTTGGGTGGGTTTTCTTGGGTACTATGTGACCATTGTACTTAGTGCCACACCTCTCACCGGAAGCGTAAGATGCCCATCTCCATCCATTCATCAATCCATTTTTCGATCCGCTTTATCGGGCAGGAGGCGGGGGACACCCTGAACCAGCCAATCGCAGGACACACAGAGACGAACAACCATCCATGCTCACATTCACACCAAGGGACAATTTAAGAGTGTGCCGTTAACCTGGTTTGGGAAAGAGTTCTATGACTGCGATTGAATTTAGATTTTTGGTGGCAGTTTGGAGGGGTTGGACCGCCACAAAATTGAAACAAAAAAAAATCAACAACAATATTAATGTAGACATTTAAACCAGGGTTCCAGGAAGAACAAGTTCTCCTAAAACTGATTATGCATCGCAACTGGTTTGTCCAAATGAGGTAAATTTCCACCACATCCATTTGAATACACATACTGTCGCTGCAGAAGTCATCGGAGCTTCAATAACAGCAAAGGACAGATAACACGCAGCGGCACCCACGTTCAACAAACCCATAAACAGCATTTTGTTTCTGCACTTGTGCTCACCATTTGTTTTTGTGGTGTTGTCAGACCAATCAGTCTCCTGAAGAAAGCACAAGACCGTTGAACCCAAAGCACGTAGGTAAGGTGATTCAACGGCGCGCTGTCGAAATTCAGGAACATTTGCGTTATCGTTTGTTGTTTATCTCACGCCTCTCTTACAGTGGTTCCACGGCCAGGCCGCCACAGAAGGCCCATGACGGCTCCAAAGACTCAGAAAGAGAAGGCGTCTAAGACGAAGAAGGTGCTGTTGACGATAGCAGCAGTTGTGGTGTTGCTGGGGATTCTGGTCACCGCGGGATACTTTAGTGAGTCACGCGATCGGACAGACACGATCGTTTTTTTTTTTTGCCATTTTTCCAGCAAGCGATACAGTTAAGTTCAGCTCACATTGGTACATGTTGAAATGAGATACCGTACATTCAACAAAGGGGGTGAGAACGGAAACTAAGTAAAACTAAATGTTGGTTTCTGTTCCTGGGTCACTAGCGCACTGCAGACTGCCATATCGGAGGTGGGAACATAACTTTATAATAAACTCAACACTGACACTTGTCAAAAGTCAGCAAATTCCTGCCTCGGTATCTTATTCGTGAGACAGAAAATGATTCTCTGTCGATCAACTGTCTGCAGTGTAGCGCCACTATTTAGGTACAGTATCTGTCAAGTCATGGATGACGGTCTCCATTTAATGCCAAGGGAATCTCTTTGGAGATGCCTGTGCATGATTCTGTTTATCGTGAAGATGTTGCTGTACCCAACACTCTAAATTGTCCCTCGGTGTGAGTGTGAGAATGAATGGTTGTTTGTCTCTGTGTGCCCTGCGATTGGCTGGCAACCAGTTCAGGGTGCACCCTGCCTACTGCCCGATGACAGGTGGGATAGGCTCCAGCATGCCCCGCGACCCTCGTGAGGATAAGCGGATTAGAAAATGGTTGGATGGATGGATGGATGTTGCTGCACCCTGAGAAAATCAGTGTTGCCGGCCCTCCAATCAGATCTAATAGCTGGTCACCCCAGCCAATTGAAAGACGACTGCAACCTTCCTTCACCTTCAAAGTCATTGGGTCACTGAGGTGCTACCTCTTCCACTAGATCCATTGTCTGTCTGTTCTTCTTCTGTCTGCCAGTTTGTGGCCCCTCACTGATAGATTTTATTTTTAGTTGTGCTGGATGCCCATCCACCCCTATTTACCAGCTAGTCAACCATGACCTGGCAAGGATGGGTTAATGTAGTTATGGCCCAACCGGGGTCAGCACACACTCTTGACTGGTACCGCAATAGGAAGGTGCCAAAAAGGGGTACGTGCGTCAGTCGTTTTGCTCGCCTACACAATTTTTGCATCCCAGAATGTCTTGAGCTGAACTGGACCGCCAAATGGAAAAGGGGCTGTTTGTCATCACATCATCAAATCAAGTCATGATTTTCACGAGCTTTTCTTTCTATGTGAATCGTTTCTTCGTTTCAGTCAAGCAGCTGATCGACAGCAAGTACTTCTTTTGCACGAAGTCGTTTAAATTCATCCCGTTGGATAAAGCGTGCGATGGAACGGACGATTGCACGGGAGGAGAAGACGAACAGACATGCTTGTCAAACCTCAAGGTCAACACCACCTTTCCAGGTAGAGCCAAGGAACCACCTCCGCATTCGATTGTCTGTCATTAGAACTTTAAGGGGAAAAAAAAAGGAAAAAGATCTCCTTTGATTCTACATCTCTGCAGTCCGTCTCATGACCCGTCAGAGCGTCCTCCAGGTGTACAATCCCAGCTCAGGCTGGAGGAGTGTGTGTAGCGAAGGCTGGAGCGATAAGCACACACGGACGGCGTGCACGCAACTGGGATACACCAAGTCAGTTCCAGGAGCGGTGTCAGAATAATTCTGAATCACCTCATATTCAATCTCTAACGCTGTGTCCTTTCCCCGTTGGCAGTAAACCTCGTAGCATCAATGTGCCGGTGAACACGTTATTATCGAACCTGAAATCTGGACCATTTGCCGCACTAAGGTCAGGGACGGGAAACACGCCTGTTCACCAAGCTACAGTTGACCGGTGAGTGAAACTACACTTTACGAAATGACAATTGACAGGAATTGACAATGGAATATTTGTCGAGATGAGAATAAGTGACGGAAAACTCACAATCTCCGCTAGAGTTAATCCTGGAGTTCTTTGATTTTCCGAACCAACAGGAACCTTCTTAGATTTTGCAGTAGGCTGTTCACAATCGTCCTGTGAGATTGACTGGCAAAGAGTCAAAGTTGCAGTCTGCATTTTTAACTCTTATAAGGTCCAGCAACTGCCAGGATCCTGAAAAAGTTGAGCTGGATAGGAAATGGGTGAACTGCATTGTGTACTGGGTTAGAGTCATGTTGGAACATATTTAAACCTTTCTTCCCCAAACTCATGTTATCCCAAAGTCGGAAGTGTAGAATTGTGCTAAATTTCTTGATGAGAAAAAAAGAGTTTTGAGTGAATGCCATCATCCAACAGCAGGTGCGCGGCAAACAAGCCAAACAAAAATCAATGATGAGGTGGCCCCGAAATGTTTTTATCATGTGATTTTGAAACAGTCATTAAACCAAAACAGGAACCAATTCTCCCTTTTTGTACTTCAAAACCAAATATTCTCATTTTATTTTCAGCGCCGTGCTGTTTTTTTTTTTTTTTTTTTCACCTTCGATTTCCCCCTCACTAAATGTCACGCAAACGAGTTTCTGTTCTCATAACCAGAACAGTTCCCGGTTTTTGTTCCTTTTCTTCTCAAGGCCTATGCTTTTCAATGATTTGACATCTTATTTGAGTTGAACCCAAGTACAATATTCTTTGTGTAAGCAATTTTGGTCAACGTATGACTCATTGTGTGGTTGAATTATAGTTTTTAAGAATTCTTTTACCTCCTATAGGAGTGCATGCAGATCCGGGGCTGTGGTTTCTTTATCCTGTTCAGGTTGGTACTATTTTTAGATACATAGCTTATGTTACTTTTTTATTTTGTTCTCTTAACAACATGTCATCTTATGGGGGCTTGGTGACGTGATTGTGGAACTGGTTTGACTAACAGGCCCATACATGTCGCTGTTGACTGCAAAGCCTTTAGCAAACACATGAATGAGCACATCTTGTGAGTCATTAAGATCCAAAAAAAACAGTTTACAGAATAAAAGAAACTAGTTCAACCTGGTTTGGCCTGTCAGAGCAGAGTTAATTTCCTTAATTACCGCTAGAGTGTTCATAGTATACAATTTGGTTGGGTGTTCATAATGAGCATTGTTCACCTCACTATGGGCCTTATGAGTCTAAAGTATGTCATTTCCCCCGGACTAAAAATAATGGAGATATACAGTAGAATGAAATTTAAGAATAATATTTGACTGCAGTTAATTACACGGTTAGCCAGTCCCTCAATAACTATTGAATGTCTAAATTTCCACCACATTTGCTATTGGAAATGTAAATTAGGTTTGCCTCAAAACAATTTACTCTTTGTCACATCTTTTCGACCGACACGTCGCACATTAAAACTACAGCATCAGTTAAGAAGCCGAAAATCATCAACTGTTTACTCAGTCACTCTGCCTTAGTCGAATGTAAGGGTTTGTTTACTAGTGGCGCCATTGGAGAAACCTTTGGAATTTGTCAGTTTTAAGTACGTACATCGGACGTCACTGCAAAAACTGTAATGTTTGATGTTTTCTTGTCAGACTGTGGTGAGGGAGACGCTCAGAACCGCATTGTTGGGGGTACGGATGCTACCATAGAGGACTGGCCGTGGCAAGTAAGCCTGCAGCAGGGCGGCCAGCACACATGCGGAGGCTCCCTCGTGACGCTACGTTGGGTGATCACCGCAGCTCATTGCTTCGCGGGGTCAGTAGTGTTGCTCTCATTTGACGTTTGTTTGTCCATGTCATGCACCTGTGACTCGCGCCAACTCCTCCCCATTTTCTTATGGGCCCTGCAGCAGTAAAAAGGAGCTAAGTCGCTGGAAAGTGGTGTCAGGCCGGACCTACATGGGTACCTTGGGAGGTTCCTCTGTGGACAGAATCATCCTGAACGGAAACTATGACCCAGCTCGCAATGATTATGATATAGCACTCATGAGACTTACAAGTCCAATCACAGTGGGAGGTAAGTGTGAGGAGTAAAAGACACCCCACAAAAAAAGTTTCCTTCCAAACAATGAAATACTGTAGCCAGGGGTACTCCCAATGTTTTGTATGGCTGCCCTCTAGTGGCAAATATATTTATGCACCAATTGGATCACCTGCCTTGTCTCACAGACCACATTTGGTATGCCTGCACCACCTAATGCAAGTAATGTGTGGCTAATGTGGGTAAACATTTGTGCAGTTGATGAGGTTGAAAAAAATATGTTTAGATGTGAAATGCTTTAATTTAATAATAAAATCATTATAATTTAAAAAAGATGTATAATAATTAATTTGAATGTGTTAAATGTATTTCTAATTATTTTTCATTTTACCGATATTTTTATCATGTTAATTACAACAAATCAGTTAATCAATGATTTAATGAATTGAATTAATTTGTAAAAAAATCCAAATTGGGTAAACAAAAATTATTCTAAATAATTGACATTTTACTCCCCCCATAACATCTGATCTAATGAGAGCCAATACCAAATCTGTATCAAACGGATGGATCGATAGGTTTGAACCCAGAAGCTAATTAAAAAATATTTGGTTGATTCAATTCTTTTCACAAAGCTGTTTGCTGAAAAACATGCTTGCAATCACTGAGTGGTTTCAATTGTGAACACAATTTGTAATTTTAGAAAGGTTTTTAGTAAGAAACATGAAGTAGACATAGGTGATTTGAGCCATTGAGAACTAAAGTGAGATAACACCGTTTTGGTTATTTTTAAGTTGAGCGCAGAAATAAATACACAAACAACATATCAAAATCGACAATTTGGACATATGGAGGCCAGCCCACTTGAGGCCAGTCCACTTTTGCACTCAGTACTTTTCCTGATTCGGCAGGCCAACTTCCATTTCCCATGAAACCAGGCTTCAAAACCCGCAAAAATACCCCAGAAACTGCAGTTCAAAAATGGATAGATGACTCAGAAAGTTGGCCTTGATTGCGACACCTAAGTACTGTATTATATTATCCAAGTCTACCTAATTAGGTGTCCAGCAATAGCTGATCACATTTTAATACCCCCAAAAGAAGTTTTCAAGTATGGCCCAAAACAATCAATTCTATTGGAGTAAAGCAACAATGAGTAACTTTAGGCTTACATTTGCTCATGAACACACTTCTGTACTGATGTGTTCCAGTGAGCCGGATGCCAGTTTGTCTTCCCCCAAAAGCTTTCAACCTTCCTCCTACAGCCTCGATGGTGGTGACCGGCTGGGGCTACCTGGAGGAAAACGGTGAACAACCTCATCATTATTATGTTCATTCATTCATTCATTTTCCGAACCGCTCGATCCTCACTAGGGTCGCGGGGGGTGCTGGAGCCTATCCCAGCCGTCTTCGGGCAGTAGGCGGGGGACACCCTGAATTGGTTGCCAGCCAATCGCAGGGCACACAGAGACGAACAACCATCCACGCTCATTCACACCTAGGGACAATTTAGAGTGTTCAATCAGCCTACCATGCATGTTTTTGGAATGTGGGAGGAAACCGGAGTACCCGGAGAAAACCCACGCAGGCCCGGGGAGAACATGCAAACTCCACACAGGGAGGCCGGAGCTGGATTCGAACCCGGCACCTCTGCACTGTGAAGTCGACGTGCTAACCACTGGACTACCGGGCCGCCCTTCATTATTATGTTGACATTAAAAAACAGACATGCAGGGTGTTCGCCATGCCTCAAATTACATACTCTCATGTTGCCTTCAGGAATCATCTCTTCATCGCTGCAGAAAGCCAACATTCCACTCATCGAAAGGAACAAGTGTGCCAGCCCTACCGTGTATGGCAGCGCCATCACCAATAGGATGATCTGTGCTGGTTTTCTGGAGGGTAAAGTGGACGCATGTCAGGTAAGCGCAGCATGAGAACACACCAAATGACTTTTTTGGGAGGGAGTTCAAATGTTCGTTGTGCTTCTGCACACCTTAGGGGGACAGCGGGGGGCCCTTGGTGCACTTCACCTCATCCAAATGGTACCTAATTGGGGTGGTGAGCTGGGGCGTTGGCTGTGCCAGGGAGGGGCGTCCCGGCGTCTACTGCAACGTAGAGGAGATGCTCAATTGGATTCACACCATCATCGAGGTAAGGCGTTACAGTTCAACACAGTATCAGCATGAACGTGTTGACGACTTTAAAATATTTCAACTAAGGCTGACAATTAAAGATAGTAAAACACAAGGGCTTATAACATGGCCATCAGGAATGTATCAGTTTAGACCGATAGTGCCAGAAATGTATTTTTAAATCAATTTGCAATATTAAATCAGCTGGATTACTTTTGTTGAATTTCAATTATGCCATTTAATTCACGTTTCCCAAACTTTCACGAGCTGAGGCAAATATTTTCATGATATTCTTTTTAAACAGCTCTTGTAGTGTTGAATCTTGTGTGCGCTTCTCAATTCAATGTGGTCATTATTATTTTTCCCTCCAGAAAAACCCATGAGCAGCTCCACTCTTGACAACCTACTGCGAGACCTAACTGCACGTGAAGACGTGATTATCGAGTGGCTAGAGACAAATTTATACGACACAGCAATGAGATGCAAAGAAGTGGAGTACATCCATTCAAGCTTACTTCAGGTTATTGTTTCTCATGGGGCAAGTGAAACTGGGATGCATGGAATTTTCACAGCAGCCTTTTTTTTTTTTTTGCACAGCAAAAAAATATGTTAGATAAATATCTGCAGAGATTTCATCTAAGCATTTGAGGTACGCCAACTGAATATTGTTAGGGGTCATTCCAGAATTGGTGGTAATTTGGGGATAGAGATTTTGGAAAACCTGTCCATTTTTGTTTGTTTTTTTTTTTTTACCCCCAAAGATGAAAAAAAAAAAGTAATGAAACATAATTTACTGCGATCGGCTGGCACTCAGTTCAGGGTGTACCCCATCTACTGCCTGAAGAAAGCTGGGAAATATTTTGCTGAGCTTGGCGCAACCCTGTTACAAATATTCAGGCTTCTGAAAAATATTTTCAATATTATAAAAATATTAAGTGTCTTTTACAATTGCTTTACAAACAGTAATTACTACGCTCCAGTAACAGTAAATGCTAATGCTAATGTTAAGCGTTTTGGCTCAGTAGTACATATGCTAGTTGTGTTAGCTGCTATGCTAATGGGCAGGAACAAACTTAATGGGAGAGGGAAAAAAGAAACCTTAAGTTTTCTAATATGAGCAAACCGCGTTGCATTGGTTTAATGCATAAATGTCAGAAAAGAGAGTCGGCCTTACAGTACCTGAAGTCACTTTTTCCTCTCCGTCTGGATGTAAAAACCTTTGTGTTAACTGTTTGTTGACACAACTTCATTGCATAATTACTATAATTTTAAATACGTTTGTGATTAAAAGAATGTTTAAACAGTGACAACACCGACATAACCATTTTCAAAATTATACCCGAAAAAAAGCTATTTCCCAACCTTTTGTTAAATTTGATATGCAAATTGGTCAACAAGAGGCAAAGATGAGGGGAATAAAAGGTATTTTGGGGGATGCTAAAGAGCTATTTGATATTTTAATTATAATTTAGGAATCACTTTTACACAAATGTCGTCTGGTTCTGGAATGACCCTTATCTTTCTTTGGCTTGCTATTTACAATATGTTCCATAACTATGATATCATGCACTATGAGATGACAGCTACAAAGTCTCACATAGGGAACAATTCAGGTTAATGTCTTTATTATTGCACTGGTTGAAATCATTGATGGCATGGATTCAGTTGCTCATCAATAACGGGTGGATGCATCATTTTAGCACATAACAGAAAAAAAAATCAACCAAGCACTTTAAAGTCAAAAATGAGAATTACTTGACTGACTCAATAATAACTGTATGTGTGAGTAAATAATACAAGTAGAGAGGATTTGAGTTCACGGCAGCCTAACCTCATTCTTGGTGTATATTAATGTCTATTCAGCCACGTTTTGATATTAGTGCACCTTCAAGTTTTAAAGTCACAGTTCCACTTGTAGGCATAAAATCATTCCAAAAAAATCATAGTGGCTGTGGGTGATTAGATAGTCGATGTAATAAACTGGAAGACATTAGCAAGTAATAAAATGTATGTTGACTTAATTCCTGTAAATATCTTTCTAGCTGTATATTTTTTTATGTGAGTAATAAAGACTTCCTCAAATTGCAAGACAGTACACTCACACTTCATTTGGTACATACCGGGTAACTTACCTGTTACTTTCAGTCAATCTGCTTTAGTTTTTTTATTTTTTTTTTGACATCTTATGTTTTTAAATGTCAGTCTTTGAGCACTCTTAAGGTTCAAAAATATTACTTCCTATGAGCTGCAGAATTTTAGTAAAAACTCAACAGGACAATGGTCACCTTAAAAAAAAAAAAAAAAAAAAAAAAAAAAAATTACATTATTATTTTTGGTATTCGGTTGCCAGCGGAACACCCTGACGCAATGGTAACAACGGAGCAGTCCACTATGTCAACAATGAACAATAAAGGAGTCAAACAATTTCTGGGTCAGATTTCACACTCTAAATAGAAACCCGGTGACTGCATCCACCCAACTTTCACTGTGTATTCCAATTTTCAGTCTCTTACCTTGAACATTTCTCTCCCCGTGGATCCATTTAACGCCCACTGTTTTGAACATTGAAGAAAAGACATAAATCCAAGTTTGTATGCAACGTTTTAATTCGAGAATATCTCCTGCTTTATCGTATCATTAAAACAGATGTAATTAAGAGCTTTAAATGATCCTATGTCATGCTACAAGTGGCATTGAACTTTTGTAGTGGTCGGAAACATTACATGTAGCTTCGAGGCTCTCAGAACATCGATGCAGAGCAGGCTTAAAACTTAGCTTCAACAATAAGAACATGGGCTTTTATGTGGGAAGCGGCTGTAGTCATCTCCTTGCACGCCGGGCAGGGCCTTTAAAGGGATCATCCTGGATTGAGGGAGAAATAAAAAACAGGGATAAACAACTGACCACGGGAAAATGAGAAAAGCAAAGGTTATTGACATGAGATGAAATGTATATACACAATAAAACGGAATGTTGCACTGCTTTACCTCATCACTGTCATCAAAACTCACTCCTTTGGACGTCTGGCTCTGAGAGCTCTCTCGCAAGAATGACGACGTTGACGCGGTCCTGAGGTGATTCAGAGGAGATACTGATTTTAACTAACTGTTTGAGATGTCAGGTTTGGAATAAGAGGCTGCGTTAGGGATTGGGCTACTTCGCAGTGAGAATTCAGGATTAATTTGGACAGACACAACACATTTTTAACACCCAAACAGACTTTTGTCGGAATATCGGAACCATTTTAAAGTAAAAGTAATTTTGTTCAAAAATATTAAAATATCGCATCCAATGTACAACCCTGCTTGATCAAAAGTGAACGGGTACATTGAGGTCTGCAGGATGGCAAAATTGACCTAAATCAACATGAGTTGGAATGAAGATATGCTCACACACTCCCTTCCAAAAGTATTGGAAAAGTGAGGCCAAATAAGTTCCGCTTCTATTTCCAAGTATTTACATCTGGACCTGATACACACAACAACCACTACATATTTGGGTGAGCAAAAGTATTGGAACGCGACCTGGTAGTCAGCCTGTCACCCGATGAGTTGTCTTCTGCACTTGAATGTGAAGACATTTAGCTCAGAGCATTTTTGTATGACATACGTTCTTTTCTGCCAGTATGAATGTTGCCCCTCTCGCCACCGTTTTTTGTCATTAATTTTCCCCTATTGTGAATTAGAACAATTCTTTGAACATGCGGCCCTAAAAAATGTCTTAGTCAAGAAAAACAAGCATACTTGGAGGAGGGCCGAGTTTTCGTTACAGGTGTGTCTTCGTCCGAGTCATCAATGGTTAGCTGAAGAAGTGAGAACGAGAGACCATTATTCAGAAGAATAGACACATGAAGCATGAATGTGGCGTGTCTGATTTACATCATCTTCTGCATAGGATGTGGGTAATGTGCTCCGAGAAGGTCTTTGGGACGGAGCTTGAAACGCTGAACAGTGAACCAGGTGGCGATCAAAATGGTGCACTTGGAGCATCCACACACACACAAACACTCGCACACATTGTTAACTTTGACACGCAACCTCACACACCTTGCATGATGCTTCTGCTCTGGCTTGTCATCTGGGATTTCTTGGAAGCTCCTCGTGTGGAGGATTTCGGCTCCGAGGCTCTAGCACCTGGATGGTAGAGGATTAAAATAACGATATAGAACAGATCATATGTACTCTCCTGTTGTTTTTTCTACTTTGGGACAAATCATTGGTATTCTGTATTATATATTGTATATAGAAAAATATACATTGTGTTCAAATAGACTCAAACAATCCAGCATTTTGAATATAGCACATCTTATTTTAAAAAGAGACACAAAAAGAATAAAGTCAGGGTAGAAGTTGAAGTCCATTTTCTTTTTGTATGTCAATAACGTTACTTTATCGATACCTCTCATTTTTACAACTTCACGTGAAAATAAGAAGAGCTGATATGCATGTATTATAGTGCCCCCTATTGGCTAGGAAGTGTATCTTCTTCTTCTCCTTTCGGCACGTCCCTATTCAGGGGTCGCCACAGCGAGTCAGTAATTTCCATCCGCCCCTGTAAACCGTCCTACCAACTCGCATGGTCGTCTTGGCAAAAGTTTTACGCCGGATGCCATTCCTGACGCAACCCTCCCCATTTCTCTGGGCTTGGGACCGGCACTGGGGAACAGTGCACCCCCAGGGGAGGGCACTGCCCCCCAGCGGCTGGGTTTGGCTAGGAAGTGTATCATTCTCTTCAAATCAAAACAATACAGTTTCCTAAATTCTTTGCCTGTTTATTTGATTTAAACTGTACAAGTACATCCATCCATTTTCAATAGCACTTGCCGTCAAACATGTTAATATGATTTCAATTTGAATTTGCAAATAGCAAACTGTGAATAAGTGGGATTTCAGTGCAGATGATTTATTTGCCACGTTGTTGTCATTGACAAACCCACAAACCTAAAATGAACCTTTGCATCAACAGCTGAGGACTCACCTCTGCCTCGCCCCCGCCCTCTGGTGCCTCGACCTCTTCCTCTGGCAGGTGGAGCGTCTTGGTCAGAATCCACGTCGCTCAGTGGGTCTGACATGTTGATGTCCAGTGAGGTCTCTCCGCGCTCCAAGCGGTGAGCCTTGGCTCTATTCATCGCCTAAAGGAGGACGGAGGAACGCAAATGAATGTAAACATCTTAAGTCCCGGTCATTCTCAGCTCACAAACCTCATCGATTTCATTTTCTTCCTCCATTGTGTTCTTTTTGGACTCTCTGATTCGCTTGATCTGAAACACACAATGACACACTTGTGAGCTTGCTCACTGCTGCTGACCATACTTTCCGTTCAAACGCTAACCGCAGACCTCGTCGTCGATCTCTTGCTCTGTGATTACACTCCGGCCCTGGAGGTGGCGCTGCGTCTTCTCGAGCTGGTAGGTGATCAGCTCCTCGATGGCGTCTTTCTCATCTTTGTCGACAAACTCCTGAAGGGCTTTGCCCATGCCGTGTTCTGTCAGGAGGGACAGCTGCACCTTCTGTGGGAACATTGAATACACAGTGTTAGGAAAGGAGATAATGCGTAGTGCGTGGGTGTGTGTTTATTGCACCTGCTCAGTTGCTTCAAAGTACTGCTTCACCAGGTCCTCTACTCTCAGCCCCTCGACTGCTGTCGTTTTTAGTACCCTGCTGTAGTCAACACTTAATTCATCTAAGATTAAAACACGGAAAAACAAGAGCATTCAGATATGCCATGTCGCAAGGTATGCCCCAATTTCTTTCTTTTTTTTTTTTTTTTTTGCACCCTCGTCTTGAGTCACCTGATTCTGAGCATCTGATGATACAGAGTCCCGAACGGCTAACTTGGCAATGCATCAAGGAGAAAAAAGGAGCGCATGCAAATTTTGTCCGTTTTTTTTTTCAGGTGGCATATTAAATGTATTGAATTAGTTGTTAAACGCAGCTCTATCCTTTCCGCCATGCAAAATGCTCAATTTGCACTCATTGCAAGGCTCTGTTGCACCGGCTCCGCTTTCGACATTAAAATATTTCTGTACTGCAGACAGTATCATGATACCTGATGCTAGCTATGTAGAAAAAATAAAAAACATTCTCCTCTGATTCTGATAAGCTAAAAATTAAGTCATTGGTCCCAATTTCCGATCACATTATTGTGGTCAGGACATCACTGAATGTCCCCAACTGAAGTGATTGAGAAAAGGATGTCCAACATGAGCAAGGGAATCCACAAGAGACCTCACTGAAAATTGTCAATCACCCTGAGCCTGTCAAAGTCAGTAATGTGCATAACAGAGTGCTGTCAAACGCTTTCTAGTTTTTAAAAAGTCCTAAATGCATACCAATATGTAACCCCTTTAATTGCCTTGGATAATTTTTTTTTTCAATAGTTGTTTGTCCATAGGCGTTTTTATTTTTTATTACAATCTTGACTATATATCTTACTTTAAATGCCACCCTCAACAATATTTGCAGGCATTGTTTGTTGTTTCTAAAGAAAATAATAGAAAACAGAGGTGGTTGGATGCATTGATCAATGGCTGACAATGAAAACACGATATCAAATTCAATACATGGGTAATGGCGGGCGCACAATATTCAGTCTCACCTTTGATTCGCTCCTTTTTCTCTCTACATCTGAGAAAGTGAATGAGGTCTTTTGGGTTCGCCACATGTTCCACGTATTTTTGACTGAAGCGGGAAGTGTTGAAGGTCTCAAATCCTCCCGTGTAGTCGACCTAAGGGGAAGGATCAAATGTGAACTCTGGCAGTAAACAGAGTGGATGATTTTGGGAGCGGCTCAAGCTAACCCTGAGGCGGATGAGCGGTTTCTCGGGAGTTAGCGGACATCCCAATCGCTCCCTCTCGGCTTGTTCTAGCATCTCATTGACCTGTCAAGCATCACGAGACACAGATGTGACAGAGGAGATGACTTTTAAGTGGTCATTGTGGATTACATGACTGCTTTCCGATATTAACTGAGCCAAGGCATACATTTATTTTTAATTACAAAAATCTCATGACACACCATGAAAAAAAAAAAATTGTGAATAAATAATTTTCGGAACAATTATGTGACATTGGATGATGTTGGCACACTAAGGGTTGGAAATCAGTGGGTTAGACGGCGAGTACCTTGGCGTGGCAAAGGTTCTCCACCTTCTTTATGACATTGGGCGTATCCACTGTGAACGCGTCCTGGTAGTCGGACAGCACCACGTCTTGGATAAAGAACTGACGTACGGTCTTTAGGGGGATCTTCTGCAGGTTCATTCTACGTCCTTTCACCCTCAGCAACCCGATGTGTCTACACGTGAAGAGTGCGATTTGGCTACTACGGCCTTCCAACACGGCCTTGACTAATTGCGTGTGTGTGTTTTGTTACTTCTTGGTCGCCTCTCCGGGAGACAGCGAGGTGGCTACGGAGCTGCCAGGCTGCGTTACGTAGAAAAGCTGCTGTTCATTTCTGCTCGGTGCTATCAAACATTCGTGCTCGTGACCCCACACCACCAAGTCAAGGAATTCATCCAGGAACTGCTCAGGAATGTAGTTTGTGGGGCCGTGCTTACTCCTGGACACAAAGTACACAATGCAGAGAGGATGATTCACTGTCGAAACTAAGGATGAAGAATGTCTCAAAGGAGATATTTTTACGATTGTCAATTCAACAATGAATATTGCTAATAATGGATGGCATCTGACAAATATTTTCTTAGCATGTATTTCATATTTTATCGTATATAAAGTTAGTATGAAACATTTCTACAGAGACAGTCTAAAAGTCACATTATTTAGAACGTCGCTCTTCCCCAAAATATGTCAAGGTAGCATATTGTCTGTGGCATTTTTAAGGAAAGTTAAGGAACATATACCGGTATAGTAATTAATTTGTGAAACCCCATTTTTAAGGATCTGAAGACACCCGGATTAAACGTTTAATCATGATGTACCGTACAGTATCAAAATATATAACGTACTGTTGTTTGCTTGCACAACAAAGTATATAATCTTCATTGCCTTTCTCGCTGATTGCCAGTGATAAAATCACGTTGTTCTTGTGCAGATTGAATAAATTAAGCAGTTCCACACCTGTTCTGGTGAATGGTAAACAGGTTAAACCACTCATCTTGGTCTTCTTTGGGGCGCAACATTGTCACGTGATTATTGACAAACATCCTGTAGAGACGCTCATCTGGGATGGAACCTACACGAACACAATACACACACGCGTTATCCCAACCCATCAAGACTTTAAAAATTGTCTGGAATGGCCCACATGCTCATACCGAGACCGTATAAAGCCAGCTTGCTGTTGCCTTTCTGCAAGAGGATGGGACTGATCTCAATCTTCTCCACCGACTGAGAGTGACCAAAGTGATTCACGAGACCAGAGGCGCTGAGGAGATCCAACGCGCACAACCCCTCAGCCTTCGAGAGAAAAACACCGCATTAGACCACACATACATGCTAATCTTTTGAGCACGGTGAGCCCAAGCATGTCTGCTGTAAAAATAATAATTTGGCATCAACGTGTAGCCGGGAAACTATGTTTCAGTGAAGGGAAGAGCTTCCTTCAGTCAAGTCACAGCTTTGTGTTATAGACAAAAGTGTTTTGTCGCTATCATAAGGGATTAGAAACTTTACCGGAGGGGACTCACCCCAGTCGGGTCGTCGTGGTTACCATGAATGCTAAACACGGGAATGGAAATGTTTAGATTTTCATCCTGATAATTGACCCAAGGGAACCTGAAGACACAGAGAGGAAAACATCACATGGTGTGCAGTGAACAGGATGCGGGCGGAAAAACGAAGATGGACTTACTGTGTAGTGTTGAAATTAACTGTCTGGTCACTGAGTATGTTGAAGTTTATGGGCGATTCGCCCATGCAGTATTTTCTCAGCATAGTAATACAGGTGTGGAGGCATCGGCGTGTCGGCTTGTTCTCATGAAACAGATCACCTCCCAGCAGGATGAAATCCACCTGTCAGTCAACAAGGATAAACAAGAGAGTCAAGCACATTCTGAGTGCAAGTTGCACCTAGCATGTGGTTAAGTCAGGCAGGTAAAAAGGTATTTGCGTCAGTGCGTCAGAGTATTTTCTGAGTACAAGGACAGTACACACGTAGCATATCATCACCGATAACAACACTAGCAGCAATGTCGGGGCTTTCGTCTTGACATGTTTTTAAAAATGTGATATATGATATCGATTCACTTTCAGAAAAATCTCTCGAATCATTTCAATGCTAAAAATCTCACCATAGTGATTTATTTGATTTTGTTTTATTTAGTCTTGGTTTGATCCATGAATTAATTCTCTCTATTTTCTATAAAAAAAAATTTTTTTAAAAACTACTTTGAAATTTTTGTTACATTGGAGGAGAAATAGTACCATAAACCTGAGTTAAAAGTTATAAGTGGAAACAATGTACAAAGTACAACCAAGATAATAACGAGTTAAATAAATACCTCTCGGACAATAACTCATAAATGAGTGATAGGGTAACCTGATTTGTCTTGGCACATTTCAGGATCTCTTCAAATGTGGTGTAGGAGTCACCTCCGCGGATGGCGTCTTTCTCCAGGTATCCGAGATGAATATCAGTAGCAATCAGGATCTTAAAGGTGTCATCATCATCCCTTGAAAGATGAACACAAGTTCAAGTCACAGCATAGCATATTAGCTGTATTTAACACGTTCCCTCGAGAGATTCAACACGACCCTATCAAAGGAACAGCACAATCTCAATCCATCATATTTCATTGCCATTTTTAAAGAAATAATACTTTTATCTGACTTACAAGGCATTGTCTGAAGACATGGCGATGACAAAATGAGCTATTCACACTGGACTGAAGACCTTGCTGCACAAAACACAATAAAATCAGAACGAATTGGCCATTAAATGGGAAAAATATATACATTTCAGATTTAGTACAAAAATATTCGCAGACCCTAAATTGGCTTGACCATCTACCTATCTTGTTACTGCTCAGTGCTCAAGGAAAGTCGTCGCTGGCTAGTAATAATAAAAAGTGTAACTAAGGAATGCCTTGACTTCGTAGAATGTTAGCAAAATCACGGTGCATGATTCTTAGCTTTGTATCGTTGATGTTCTAGCTTTCATTTTTAATACGATGACACTAGCCAAGCACGAATTTTGTGTTAAAATGTATTACTATTCTCAACTCTTAGTATTAAATTGTACGTTGTTCTATAAACATGCTTGATTAGCGTACATGTGATAAATATTCACAATGTTAGAAAATTCACTCACCAAACTATCAGCAAAACAGAACACGCCGTAAAACTCCCGGCAAGTCTTGCAAACCCTGTCTCTTCACGCTTTCATTCATGCTTCTGGGTATTGTAGTTTTATTTTTAAGTATTGTCAGTCTGAAATACAGAATATCCGTTGGCAGAAAAACTACACTTCCTGTAAACTTTAATTGTGTGTTTGATTATAGTTATAAGACATCCCGTTGAAACGATCATGGAAATGTGCCTGCAACTAAAATCCAGCACCGCATCTCACGGCTTACGCTAAGATATAAAACACATTTCCCTTTTGTGAACCACGGGACGGTACACTTGGCATTTTGTTTTCGTTCTAGACAAGATGAGATAGCATAGGGGAGCAGCTGATAGGGATTTTATTTTATATACCACCAATTGCCTTGTGACTTGTATTGCCTCTCGGAACGGGTGTACATCATGGAGAATGCGTCAAAAACATCTGCTGTTACTGTAGAATCCGCGCGACAGGTAGCTTGTCTCAATGTGGTCTATTCAACTCTGTTAAAATGACATAATCGTGCTCGTCGTTGATGTTTTTACAGCTCAGAATGCATAATGTAGGGATTTATCATATTTCCAACTTAATGTTGCAATGATTCGACTGTGACGAAGCAATGAGTTGTGTAACTTTAACTTTGATGTTGCTGTTAATTCCGATCCGACATTAACATGATTGCAGGAGTTGCATCCAGTTCCTGATAGAGCTGCAGGCGACTGCCAGTCATTGCCGTCCTATAAGGAATACCCTGCACCCCGGCCATGCAGCAACCCACAAAGTGCCCCCTACGCTCCCTATCGACCTCCATCTCCCAGCAAAGGCTATCCTGAGAACAGCAGTGCAGGTTGTCTGACATGTTCTGAGGGTATATCTGTATCAATACATTGGTGCGCTGGACTGTGTTTCAGAGCAAGCTCCATGGTTACTGCAACATGATGCCACAATGCTTACTTATGTTGGCCGCATTGACATCTGCTCTCACTCCTCGTCTCCCCTCCCCTGCCTCGGCGCAGCCATCCTGTCAGCGTTGAGACACCTCCAGGAGAAGATCAGGAGGTTGGAGCTGGCGAATAAAGGCGGCGAGCCCGGCGGCCGTACAGTCAGGAGAGATACGCCGCGTCCACACACCGCTAAGATGACCCAGAGGACCTCAACTAGCCAGACGGATGTGGGGAGAGTGACGGATAATCAATCCAACTGCAACCAAGGTGACAGCGATCAGGACACCGGAGGCACGTTATGGTGATATTGACCCAGGCTTCGTTCTATTGTTGTGCAGCGTTAGTCTCCCAACTTGCGGCTGCAGAGTCTCGCTGTCTGAACCTGGAGCGTCAGCTAGATCAGATGAGGAAGATGTTGCACAATGCTCAGGGAGAGAAGAAGAACCTCCTCAAGCAACAGGTTCGTAACAGTAATTCTGATTCTCAATATGGACCAAAAAGCGTACAGTGAACAGCGACCACATTGTAGTTCACCTTTTGCATAGTAGTTTACTCAAATTTATTACACAATATTTCGTGAAATTTTTTTCTTGCACTAGCCAAATACTACTGACTGTTGAAGTATCGAAAGGGTTGTAATTCCGTTAACGCCTATGCTAACTTCTCGTAGCCTCTCCATTGCTTTTGCATTATATGTTAGCATTAAGCTAGCGGAATTTTGTTGAAAATGATCATCTTATAAAATGAAAATAATCACGGAACGTGAAAATATCCAAGACTAATTGTTGAGTTCATTTACTTCCTAAATGTTATTGACTTTTGTGGTTTTGTGTTCAGGTGACCTTTGGGGCGTCGAGGTCCACGCATGGACAAGCCAATGCGGTGTCTGAGCGCATGCAACTGCAGAAAATGCTTCGACTGGAACAAGAATATCTCACGCTGACACGCACTCAGGCCCAAGCTGAGGTAGGCAGGAAAGAAAATATTTAAGAGCAAATACTGATCCTTGAAAAAAAAAATGATGTAAACATGTGTGTCTGTGTGTGTGTGTGTGTGTGTGTTATACATACATAGGAGTACTTTACTGTAGTTTGACGTGCTTGTCGCACCTCTTCATAATATGCTGCTAAACTGACAGCCATTAAAATAAAAATGACAATAAAGAGCTGGTCTAGTCTACGTTATACAACAACAACATATCTGTATAATAGCATATAAAAAATATGAATAATAAAGTGTTATTGGCACATTCTATCTAGAGAAATGATTCCAAAAGCACACTACCGTACAAGAATTATGATGTCGTTTCAGGTGAAAATTCACGAGCTGGAGCTGAAACTGCAGGAAGAGGAGCACCAGAGGAAGCTGGTGCAGGATAAAGCAAACCAGGTACCCCAGTGGGGGGATTTTCAAGGGGGCTTTTTAATATGAGCAGCAACATGCTCAACTGCAGAGGCTTTCATCATGCTCGTCATCCGCTCCTCAGCTGCAGTCGGGTTTGGAGATCAACAGGATCCTGCTGCAGTCGGCCTCGCCGCCACGATGGACCAGCACGGATCCTAAAGAGAGGAATGAAATTTTAAAGGTATGGTGTACGTAGGAATTTGGCCCGACTGATATGGATTTTTTATTATTTTTTTTTTATTTATGCCTAATTCCGATGTTTGGTACATAAAAATTCTGATAACCGACAAAAATGACAATAAAGAGCTGGTCTAGTCTACGTTATACAACAACAACATATCTGTATAATAGCATATAAAAAATATGAATAATAAAGTGTTATTGGCACATTCTATCTAGAGAAATGATTCCAAAAGCACACTACCGTACAAGGATTATGATGTCGTTTCAGGTGAAAATTCACGAGCTGGAGCTGAAACTGCAGGAAGAGGAGCACCAGAGGAAGCTGGTGCAGGATAAAGCAAACCAGGTACCGCCGGGGAAGGGGATTTTAAGAGGACTTTTTAACATGAGCAGCAACATGCTCAACTGCAGAGGCTTTCATCAAGCTCGTCATCCGCTCCTCAGCTGCAGTCTGGTTTGGAGATCAACAGGATCCTGTTGCAGTCGGCCTCGCCGCCGCGATGGACCAGCACGGACCCTCAAGAGAGGAATGAAATTTTAAAGGTATGGTGGACGTAGGAAGTTGGGCCCGACTGATATGGATTATTTATTTATTTTTTTATTTATGCCTAATTCCGATGTTTGGTACGATAACCGAGCGTTTCAAGAAATTATAATGAATACATTACCTCTTTTTTTGCGGGGGGGGGGGTCTCCTAACACTTGCAATAATAAAGATATGAGTTACAAGCACAAGATTTGACTGTCTTGCAATAATTTTTCCTGACGTATTTAATTTATGAGAGAAAAATCTGCAAAGGTTGGCCTTCTTGGGGGGAGGGTTGACGGTGCAGTGTTTGAATATTATCTTTTTATCTTATGTTTCAATGTGTAAAACTTTTTAACATGGCTGTTTTTGCAGATTTTATAAGAGAAAAAAAATATAAAGTAATGGTAAATAATCGCTCTGGTAATTAACGATTACTTGTTTTGTTGACTAATCATCATTGACGTTTTTTTTTTTTTTTTAAAGAATAAGTTCTCCCACTAGCTCGTCATCCGCTCCTCAGCTGCAGTCTGGTTTGGAGATCAACAGGATCCTGTTGCAGTCGGCCTCGCCGCCGCGATGGACCAGCACGGACCCTCAAGAGAGGAATGAAATTTTAAAGGTATGGTGGACGTAGGAAGTTGGGCCCGACTGATATGGATTATTTATTTATTTTTTTATTTATGCCTAATTCCGATGTTTGGTTATTTGACTGTCTTGCAATAATTTTTCCTTAAGTATTTAACTTCACGAGAGAAAAATCTGCAAAAGTTGGCCTTCTTGGGGGGAGGGTTGACGGGGGAGTGTTTGAATATTATCTTTTTATCTTGTGTTTCAATGTGTAAAACTTTTTAACATGGCTGATTTTTGCAGATTTTATCAGAGAAAACAAATACAAAGTAATGGCAAATAACGATTACTTGTTTTGTTGACGAACCATGATTGACATTTTTTTTTTTTTTTTTTTTAAAGAATAAGTTCTCCCACTGGGAACCTCACTACAGACTTAACCTCAGTGATGTACCTTTTGTGGCCGGAAAGGTAGCTACAAGCCCCAGTGAGTCCTTGTCCTGTCCACATCTAGTCCTCTTTTTAACACCGTCTTCAATCGTTGCAGTCCGTGGGCGGCAGCCACTCGGTCCGAGCCAACGTGCAGTCGGTTTTGTCCCTTCTGAAGCGCCACCAGCCTCAGCTGTGCAACAGCCGTGTCCTCGCCAGCGACAAAAATGCTGTCTGCCCGGGCGGGACAAACCGCCGCCATTCGGACGCTGCCTCCGGCTCCGCCTCTTCCACCAGTGGCGAGCTGGCGGAGCTTCTGCAGGCGCTGCAAGAGGAGCTCAGGGTGATGAGCTTGTGAGTACATTATTTATCAATTAAAAAGAAAAAGGAAAAAAAAAAACAACTAAACATATATTTTTAGCTAGTTGTCGTCCAAGTATGTTTTAAATGTACAAAATAAATATATCATAATACATCTGGGTGAGGAGCTTTATTTTGTGATCAAATTATCTGACTTACTCAACTCCCACCGTCCCGAAAAATGTATTTCTTAAATATGATAATAATACATTTCATTTGTAGAGCGCTTTTCAAAAGAACTGATCAATTTTGTTACGGCTAGTATGTGGTTTTATTTAATTACATTTTTGTTGATGCACCTTTGGTAACATATACATAAGGCAGTGGTGTACCTTTCTAAATCGTTTCCAATCAATATTGCCGATTGAATATGCGACTTAAAAAATAAAAAGATATTCTAGACTGTATAGTGGACATATAAGGTCGAAACACCCTTGATTAACTGCCGGGTTTTGGTTTGGAAAAAAAAAAAAAAAAACAACCAAACAAACAAAACTCGAGATGATATGGTTGCCCTCCAAAAATCTGACTTTTGAACACCTTCATTTTTCTGTTGTTTTGTTTCAGAGAGCAAGACCAACTGATGCGTGAGCTGGACCGCAGTGTTTCTCTGCAGGAAAGAAGGCAGCTGGAGCGCGAGCAAGAGACCTTGCTCCTCAAAATGGAACGCAAAGGAGAGCAGATTAGTAAACTCTACAAGCACAAAATTCAGGTGGACACACAAACACACACATATTAACATTCATGACCCCTGAGTACACATTGCCCTTTATTTAATGACATGAGTGCTTTTTTTTTTTCATTTCACATATACTGTTTATAGATGAAGAAATTAAAAAAAGAGGCGTGCCGGAAGAATCCACCCAGAGTGAGCGCAGTCAAACCAGGAGAGAAAAGCAAGCGCAATCTCGGGCTTCTCAAGGACATGAAAGCACTCCAGACGTCTTTAAGATAGATGGTTTGAAAAATACTTCATCTTAACCTGAGACCCCACCAGGAAGTACTCACATCCTGCCTGGACTCAAATACCTTTTTTAAAGTGCTTATTAACTACATTCTTTGTCACTTTGGCTCAGTGTTTGCTATCAGCAATGGACAGAAGATTTTAAAAAGTCTACACACCCCTGTTCAAATGCTCGTTGTGGAGACTTTTTTTCCATATCCGTTGGAGCGCTTACCTCAACTTGTATATCCTATAACCTGCACTTAAATACACAATGTCCAAAAACCTAAAACAAATGACGGTGCTTCAAAGTTTCTCATTGTAAAAGCATTCCTTGTGTTGCTCCATGATTTGTTTTTAACTTTTTTTTTTTGTTTTTTTAAATTAACTTAAATGATTTTAAATGAGTGTACTTAACTATGTGACGATGTGGTGGGGAGCTTGGTGGGTGTGGCCTCCTGAGGCCTGGACATGACTGGTTTGCTGGTGTAGATGTCGTCCACAGGTAGAAGGAATGTGACTGTTTTCACTTTGTCTCTGTGGGGGACAAAGAAGAGGACATCGGAGAAAGATCGGACAAGCAAATACTCAATCATTTTCACTTTTCGCTTGGACAATTGCACTGAATAAAGTACAATACTAGCCATCATGGATTCTTGATTGGATTTGTTCTGATTGCAATTTATTAAGGGTGTAATTTCACTTTCAGCCATTAGATGGTGGCACACACTATTTATTTTTTATACTGTGTACATTTGAAAGGAGTGAAAAGTTTCAAGCACATGGTGCATATTAATTAGGTACATGACAACAAAATTAAAATCTTTTTTTTTTCCAGCGAGACCAAAGTTACTAAAAAGAGCTGGAATCAAGGAACAAAATTGTGTTTAAACTTTGCCAGTAGGCCTATGTTAAGAATTAAGGAAGTTGTGAGGTTTCAAAAAGCAGGCAAAAAGGTCGTCTTGTTTCTTATTCAAAACAGTGATCAGTTTTTAAGAAAAAGAATGAAGCTGATCTCTTGAGACCTCACTGTTTCCATAAGTGTGGACCAAATTATAAAGATGATACACCACATGAACGTGCTCGATTTCACGAGCCATTCCTAATTATAGTTAATTAGTGACATTAATTAAATGTTTATTAATTAGACGCAATTAAGTTAACACACACACACACACACACACACACACACACACACCGTCCACTGCTGGTTTATCCCGGTGGACGGCTCTCCTGCGTTTGCCCCCATTCAGGGTGAGGCGACACAAATTTTTCGGCACTGTATAATGTTCTTCCACATTGTACAAATTTGATCAAACTTCATCTGCATGTCCCAAAATATGTCAAAATGATGTGCCAGCTAGCTTTCAACACTTTTTCTGTGGTCAAAGATGAGTTATCTAACCGTGCGTGCGATAAACATCAGAATAATGCAGGATAATTCCACTGTACTATATATCTAAAAATAGACGTGGAGAACACATTTTTAACAAGCCGGGCTTAATTTTTCTGAGGGGTGCAAAAACAACGGACCTATGCTCCTTAGGTCACTTTATGGCGCAGGAGTACCTAATGAAGTGTCCATTGAGTGTAAAAAAACAACACACAATGCTTGCTTACCTGGTCTTGTGCACATATTCCTGAAGGGACGTCCTGTCGCTTGCTGAGGCCACGTCACTGGTGACAGAGCGATCATGGTTGCCATTCCCTCCCAGGATCTCCTCCTGTACACGCGCCCATCCAAAGTGGCTCATCCAAGGGTCCACTACACGCTCATTCCGTGTCACCCCAGGTGCACTGGAGTTCGTGGAGTACCTTCGCACTGTCATGTCAACCTTGTCTGGGGAATAAGAACATGACACGCCAGAGTAACAGTGAGAGAAAGTAGATGGATGGATAGAAGTGGATACAGTAGATGGATGGGTAGTTGCACCTTAAAAAACAGTTGGGTCAAAAATAAACCCATTTGAAACTGAAATTGATTTTGAAATGGACCAACTATAATTGTAGTTTCAAAGCAATAACCCATTTCAACCTGGCCAATTTGAATAACATCTTCTGAATAAATCCCAATATTTTCTGAAGGTCCTACTTTTATATAGATATTGCGAGAAAACTACTTTATCGGGTTATTTTTAAATAACCCAATTGCTTGGGTCAAAAACTTGACATAACTTTTTGGGTTTTTCATATTGCCCAAAAAAGTTCGGTCAAATAAATAACCCATTTTTAGGGGTCAAATTGAGCTACAGTAAGTGGCGGCCGGTCCCTTTTTGACCCACTAATTGCGTTAAAATTTGCCCAACTTTTTGGGCACATTCACACAATCCACAAAACAATAAAATCTTCCAAATTTTGGGGCGGCAGGGGTGGGGTGAAAGGGGTGGTTGAAGAACCCAACCTAGAAATTGGGTTGTTTTGTGGGTTATAAAATTAACCAAACCCACATTTTTGAGGGATGTTGATTTGTGGGTTATTCATTTAACCCACTTATAGTAGCTGTTTTAAATGTGTATCCCTAAAAGTAGGGTCAGTCCATTTTTTGACCCATATTGGGTTATTTTTAACCGAACTGCTTTTAGAGTGATAGATGGTTGACAGACAAAAGATTGATAGATGGATGGATGAGTGGGAGGCCGGCTTACCTTTATATTCCTTAAATTGTCCTTTTAGAATGGGAGCGGATACGTTTCTCCTGAGATATGGGTTTTCCTGCTCTTCATCTAAAAACATAGCCCGTGTCTGCTCGTCCTCTTGGTCCACTTCCCGGTCCCTGTCCTTCGGCAGCACTCGCTTCTGGTCTTCCAGTTTCCTGATTTCTTCCCGCATCTCCATGATGACCCGGGCCAGGCTGCGGGTTCCTTCCATGGTGCTGCTGCTGCGCTGCCAGAACCAGGGCTTCCCAAAGAGCGCGGGAGATTGTTGATGTGAGTCATGCAGCTCACGGTGCTGCCTGGTGTTTAACATGCTGCCCGTCCCTGGCTTGCATGCGTACCATCTCAGTGCGGATCTTGACTGTGACTGCATGGTGTCACCGCCTATACAGCTGATCTGTCTGCAAGGAAGAGGTCTGCCAGTCGCCCTTGGGGGGGATGTTTTATTCATTAGCACCCAGGTCCAATTTCTGGAAAACTATGCAGGGGTTCTTTCCTGTCACGTGGAGACCTGAAACGTTGTGGTTCTGAACACAACACGGGGAGCAATTGCTATCTTTTTAAGTACAGTGCTGTGAAACAGTATTTGCCCCCCAGCCCCCGTCCTGATTTATTTTTATTATTTATCACAAAGAAAGGTTTCAGTTCATCAAACCAATTTTAATATCACACAAGAGACTACCCAAGGAAATACAAAATGCAATTCCTAAATACCGTATTTTTCGCACTAAAAGGCGCACCTAAAAGCCTTCCATTTTCTTAAAAGCTCACAGCGCGCCTTAAAATCCGATGCGCCTTGTGTATGGTCATTACGGTAATATGTCAACCCCAAAATGGCTCCTTGCTCGAGACATGCTGACAACGCAGAGTTCAAACTTAAGGCGATCAGGTTTCACAGTTGAACACGGAAATAGAGCAGTGTGTGTGTGTGTGTGTGTGTGTGAATCAATGTTATAACTTGCAGTTGTACATTTCTAGTGGATGATTTGCCACCACTGGCATATAATCCCGATGACGATGTACCTGTATATGATCCACTATGCGACACAGTATCAAGCACTGTTTCGGTGGATGGGGATCACTCCCGTAAAGCAATTACCTGCGTTGAATGCTGCTGACTCAAGGCAACCTGAGCCACCCGCCGTCCGAGCACACAGAAGTCGGTATGGAAAGGACTGGGAGACAATCAAATCGCTCGATAGTGGTGATGGAGGACGGTGTTGAAGGACTACAAGTGACGCAGTTCAATGCGCAAAAAAACAGGCCAAGTGAAGAGATGGAAAATGGGTCTGAAAAGTAGGATTGTAGTTAACACATTCACATTAAATATTAAGAAGACACTCTGCCCTGCGACTATGACCTGCAAACAATTGACACCTGATCACTTGAATGCAGCACACGACTTCACTCTATTCACAGCAATCTACTGCATGTCACTTCCCTTTCCGTGAAAGTTTCATGTGCGGTCATCATCTCATCATTTGCATCTCATCAATAAGAAATCCATTTTCAATGGCAGTTGTCCTCATTCACACAGGGAGGCCGGAGCTGGAATCGAACTCGGTCCCGCTGCACTGTGAGGTCGACGCGCTAGCAACTGAACCACCGGGCCGCCAGTTGGTATTTAACACAAACAAATATATATAGTACTGTTTATACGGTATAAATACAGGCCAATTACATAATAAATAAATTGGCCTGTAAATCCGAGGTAATTAAATGATGTCAAGTTTGATTCATACAACTTAGCCATGTATTCTAGCTAAGGGCTTTTAGGTGTGACAAATAGATACCACAAAATTACAATAGCAGTAGTAGTAGTAGTAGTAGTAGTAGTACAGTATGTTTTCATATGTATTGTACCGGTTAAATTGTATGCTCCGCACTCAATGCTGTGTCCTCTCAACAGCATGCAACAATTTGTACAAATTGAAGGCTAAATTATCCCATAAGTGTGAATTTGAGTGTCGATGGTCCGTTTGTCTCTATGTGTAATTGACTGGCGACCAGGTTGGCTACAGAAAACGTAAGTTAGTATGAGCCCACTGCAAAACCAATCCAACGCAGTAATCAGCCATTGATGAATTTTCAACATTAACAAAATTTTATTTAAACGTTATACATAAAACTTTTTTTTTTGTGAAGTCAGCTAAACAAATATTTATATGTATATTTTATTAAAAAAAGGGAACATTTCAAATGTTTTAAATATTAATATTTCTTATATACAATTCAAAACAGGAAATAATAACAGTCACAACGCATTTAAAAATGTTACAAAACATAACTCTTTGTTTTCTTCTTTTTTTTTTAAGTGGTTCCGCTTGAAAATGGGCACGCTGATATTTGGGGAAATGTTAGCAAGGATAGAAATTAGCACTGTGGAGCTGCTCTACATTCATAAACCGAGCGGACGTGCATTCAGCTCTTTGCACGCTTAAAAAAATTAACACATTTGGTTTCTTCGCATTAGCTTATTGTTTTTTGGGGGGCTCAAATTTCATAAAAAATAGAACGCAAGGAGAAGCTGAACGCACCTCGAGCTCGGTAAGGTCACTGAAACTAAAGGGCAAGGCTGTGAAGAGAAGGCGTGCGTGTGTGTGTGTGTGTGTGTGTGTGTGTGTGTGTGTGTGTGTGTGTGTGTGTGTGTGTGTGTGTGTGTGTGTGTGTGTGTGTGTGTGTGTGTGTGTGTGTGTGTGTGTGTGTGTGTGTGTGTGTGTGTGTGTTTAAGTCATATTTTTTTGTTTGGGCCGCCTCTCGAGAACCAAAAATAAGCAGAACCTACCGTTGCATCAGCTAATTCGACGTTCAACAACGTGACAACAGACTAGCACGAGCACAGTCTACACACTTCGTCTTCCCTTGTCTTCTTTTTCTTCTTCTACTACCACTTGCTGCACTTACAAACAGGCAAAAGATTCCTCCCGGGAGCGTCAACTTCCAGTCAGCTGTTCAAAAGCCGCTGTGGCGCTCCATTCCTGGCTGCCTTGAGTGAGGAATCTGGACATAAAAAATAACAAGGAAGAATTGGAAAACTGGATTGACTTGTGTATTGCCGCCTAAAATTCCAGCAACTTTTATTTACAATGTAATGCCTGGAACTTCCTGGATCTCATGTTGGTGAATTTCAACCGCAGGAATGTTACACAGGAACATTTGAAGCACCATTGTGTTTGAACTAGGACTCAAAGGGTTTGAAATTACACTTCTAAACTAATTATTATTACTATTTTTTGCCTCAATATTGTGATTGTGATTTATTCATTCATTCGTTCTCCAATCCGCTTATCCTCACAAGGGTCGCGGTGAGTGCTGGAGCCTATCCCAGCTGTCTTCGGGCAGTAGGCGGGGGACACCCTGAACCGGTTGCCAGCCAAATCGCAGGGCACACAAAGACGAACAACCATCCGTGCTCACACTCACACCTAGGGACAATTTAGAGTGTTCAATCAGCCTGCCATGCATGTTTTTGGAATGTGGGAGGAAACCGGAGTACCCGGAGAAAACCCACGCAGGCCCGGGGAGAACATGCAAACTCCACACAGGGAGGCCGGAGCTGGAATTGAACCCGGTACTGCAGCACTGTGAGGTCGACGCGCTAACCACTGGATCACCGGGCCGCCGATTGTGATTTAATACGTGACTTTTAATTATTTTTTTCATTGAGATGCCAAGGTGGTAAGTGAGTGAAAATGAAAAGTGATGACATACCAGTCTTAGACAGAGTGGAAAGAGAACTGTTAGAGAGAGAGGTGGCGCTGGAGGCAAGAACACGTTTTTGCAACTGCAAGTAGGAAAAAAAAATAAGTACAAGGACAGCACTAGTAACAATAATGTCAGATGACATGAGAGATGAGACTAACGGATGCTGTGTCGGAAATAGCCGCAAAGCACGTGACAATCACCTGCTCGTTCATGATGGCACACAGTTCGCTCAGCATGTCCCTGTAGTGAGCTCTCATCTCCTCCTGGTACTCCAACTGGTCTTCCTTGATCAGACGCTCATTCACATCCAAAGCCTGCCCGCATGCTTCAGCAAACTGTCTGCATGCAGGAAAAAAAAAAAAACATCCGGGTCAATATTACCTCTTTCAGAGCCGATGTCAAGTGCCATCAACTATTTTTGTTTTATTTGGAATGGGCTGAGACAAAAAAAAAAAAGTCTTGGCAAACACTGGTTTGATCATTAAACTGGGAAAGTAAGAAATGAAAAAAATGAATACGGCCAGCGGCATTGGGTCTCTCTTGGATGAGCCACAAATCAAAACAATTCTTGACGCTTGTGAACATGGCAGACCTCGGGATATGCAACCATTACAAGCGGCTCGTGATTGATCAAAGTGTTTGTCATTTTGAATCGACAACAAAGGTCACAAAAGGAAGTAAAGATGATGCAGATAATTGACATTTCAAAGTAGTAGCGAAGACAATGTAAATGTCCTGTAAAAAGCTTTGTTACAGCTGCAGATGTTGTGATAGCATGATATCAATAAAGATGTGTTGTATTGGATTGCATTGTATTGTATTGTATTTTGGGGGGTGTCAGTTGCATTTTCACGCAAATCACTGATGGTGTCAAACCTACCTGAAGATCTCCTTCAGTAGTTTAACCTGGTTGTCTGGATACTTTTTGGCATTCTTCTCTTCTAAAAAGGCCCTGGCATACGCCATCGGGCCTGCATTGACCTGGATAAAAAATAAAATAAAATAAAAAAAACACCACGTGAGGCCAGAGACCAAACAGCAACTCCTGCTAATGTGTGTGCTTTTGAACAGGAGAGGAAGACGCACTTTGGCACTGACGCTCCCTTGCAATTTGAGCTGCAGTCGAATCATGTCCACCTCCTCCATGTTGCACAGCTGGTTGAGCTCAGACACTTTACGGGACATCTCGTCAATGGCCACTTCGATGGGGTTCATCTCCGTACTCTGCTGCTCCACAACCTGGATGCGCTTTTTGAGGTACGGGAAGCTGGAACTCGCTGAGGATAGGTAGAGTAAGCGATTTCAAGCAATGCTTCAGCAAGTGATGTAGCCTCACAAAAGCTAATTCAACTGAAGAACTGTTTCGTTGACAGACTCATACGCAATATGAAGTCGTATGGTCCCTAATGTCTGAAGGAGGCACTAACCAGTGAAAATTTAAAAACCGTGACATTGATTGTCACATTCAATTCGGTATGACTCATTTTCAAACTTTGCATTATGACCGCTGCCAAGCAAAATAAGTTACATTGTGATTGTTAGCGAGTTAGTTGGTTTAATATTTGCTCAGTCATTTGGATAGTCAACCTGATTACCGGTAGGTGCATGGTTGCTTGTTAGCTAGCTGGCTGGAAAGTTGGCTGGTTAGTAATTTGGTCAGTTAGCTTGCTGGTAAATTGGTTGTTGAGTTAAATAAATGGATGATGATGATCTCATTTTTTTTAATTAGTTGACTGGTTACCGGTAGTTAGTTGGTAAGTCAGTTGCTTAGTTACGATGATTAGTTTGATGATTGATTGGTTGGCTAGATTGTTACATGGTTAATTAGTTGCTTGGTAAATTAGTGATTTATTTAGCTAGAATACAAAGAAAAAAAATAAAAAACAACAACAAAATATTTTTGGTATAGCTATGTTGCCGGGGCCAAGGAAGATCATTGGACGTGCGGACTGAGTAACTGAGTTTCACTTTTAGTTGTGACAGTCTGCCTGCATTGGGGCCAAGCCTAAAAGCGGTTTGTGTGGCCCATTACCACCCCCTTTAGGCTTGGAGTGGCACATCACTATTTTTCAATTATACATACTCAGGCACGTTTGACATTATTATCTTTCTGTGATGAAAGGATTGTATTAGATTGTTAGATTCGGTGTTACCAATGTTGCAAATGGATAAAATGCTCACTCGTTAAAATGGTGCGCCTCTTGCACTGCTCCTCGACATCTCCATGCTTCTTCCCGGAGAGGGTGAAGGGCGTCTCGAACACGAAGCGGTTGATGTTGTGATGCCTCTCAAAGTCTGTCCTTTTGTCCTGCTGTTCCTTCTCGTCGAAGTAAGGCAACACGTACGTCACTTGAATGTACGCAAACTTTGGGTCCAGGTCTTTGGGATTGACCTGATGGAGAAAAGAGGCCGATGAAGCTCTTTGTTACTTTCTATAAATAATGACATCTCTGACCTTATTGGAATCCTGGATCATTTTGACATTATCGGCACCAAATTTGTCAGAGTAGAGTTTCAGCAACCTCTGAGAGATCTCAGACAGCCCAGTCAGCTTCGGCTCCTTGTAGATGAACTCCTTGCTCTCCTCCTCCTCAAAGAAACCCTACCAGTAACACACATATGTACCACAATCTCTATTTCATTACATTATTCCATGTACAGCGCGCCACGTTTTTGCACTTGGGTTACAGTCAGGCTAACAATGTTAAATTCCAAAACTGTATGAGGTATGAACTTCCTGTCTGCTCTCGTTGTTGAGGACAGAAAGCAACTTTTGGATCGGAGGGAGTCAACTGGAGCACAGCAAGCTTTTGACAAACCTTCCAAAGGGTGAGTTGATCAGAGTTAATAGTGGCAAACGGAGAGGAGAGGAGAAAAGTTGTTAGCTAGCAAACAAACAAACAAACAAAAACATGGCAATACTTATGGCAATCTTGATATGGAATATAATCAAAGTAAAAGGAAGAAAAGAGCAGACAGAGAAATTAAGGACGCTAAACTGTTTATATTTAGAATAGTGTCGAGCATTTTGAGGCTCTCGAAGTCCATCGTGGAGATCAAATGAAAATTGTTATCAAACATTCCGCAGCATAATAAATCACTTTCAATATACACTGTATATTATCTGGGCACTTTTCTTCCCGCCGTTGTACTGTACCAACAGGTGTTTCTAAGATGTGTATTTCACTAAGAAGTGAAGTTCAGTACAAGAGCATAAATTTAAATAGTTTGACTTTGATGCCGTCAACCGACATATTCCCAAATGTTTGCTAACATTGTGAATTTACAAACAATAAATGCTTAATTTCTAGTGATGACAAATGAAAAAAAGACATTATATTTTACGTTTGGAAACAAAGCATGGATTTTTTTTTTTTTTTTTACTTGGAAGATTGCCACTTCAATATTAGGCCAGAACTAATTCAACAATGACGAAACACATTCGGTTGACGGGACGCACAGCAAGAGTCCCCTCACCTGTCCATAGAAAGCTACGCGGTAGTAGCGTCCGAACAGCCGTTTCTCTGAGTTCACCACCTCTGTCACCTTCAGGTAAGAACGATGGATATCGTAGTAAAGCTCTGACAGTCTCTGCGGAGACAAACACGGCTATTAAAGCTAACGCACTGCTTTTCAAACTTTTAACTTCGATAAATACATATAAATTATAACAGAACTTTCATGAACAAATGAATTGTACTGAAAGCAAAATTAACCCACAAAAGTATACACAATTCAATGTTACTGCAGTTCACAAAATTGATCGAAATAACAAAAATGAAAATTGAAAAAGCATTTTCGAAAAAATAAAATAAAAACAAGCATTTTTTCGTCAAAAAAACGATCACTAAATCTGCATTGCACGCTTTACAAAACTAACCAAAATTATAGAAACTGTGCTTTGTTTTCATCCTTGTCAATTAATTTCTAAATATCTATCTATCTATATCGACATTGATACATCCGTCACTTTTTCTAATCCTGCAAGTAACCAATACCTCATATTCAACAATTAAAACTAATACTAAAACTAATAACAACTAAACTACAATGAGGCATTTTCCAAAAAAGAAAAACTAGCAAAGCTGCTGTAAAAAAATAACTACATTAAAAAATAAAATAAAATCCTAAACTACTATAACCCTGGCACAGTTTACATTAAATTCGGTGATTCTTCACATATCACTAGAGGGAGCCCATGTACCACTAAAATCACTACTCGAGATAATGATCATACCTTGAAGTCTCTCCTTTTCTCAAAAACAACAATGACAGGTTTGTTGATATCGGCTATGAGCTCGTGTCTCTCCGACTTCCACAGGTAATCCACACACAGCTCCAGCTGATCCACCAAGGTGTCCTACACACCAAGTACGTTTCCATTAAAAGTAGACTGGCGGTCGGAAAAGGTAAGCAGCCTTGAGCTAAAACTGACCTCAGTATAGGGGGTGTCTTGTGTACCCGTGTCTTCCTTCATGGCTCCCTCCTCTTTGACGTTAGGGCTGATGCACATGAAGGCCGCCCAGCCCAGAGAAAACGATGCTGGGGTTGTAACAAGAATGAAAAGGATCTCAGGGTGGGCTTACAGTTCATTAAAAGAAGCACACCATACAGGATGACTGGATTACACCACAATGACTCGATTTCCTTAGATAGAGTAGCAAGGAGTACGGCATTCGACGCAGCATCAACATCCTGCTGTCAACTGAAATTGACGTCCAAGTGCTGTCTAGCTCAGACGTCATGTGACAAAACCCAGAAAACATTTGAGCCGTGGCATTCGCAATGCGAGTCCGAGGGCATTTTGACGTCAATTTCAGTGGACAGCGGAGGCACTAAAATGTCAGTCTCCTGAGATGGCTGAACGTGGGTGGATTCATCTGCTTAATTCTTATTCTGAAAAATGTAATATTATTCAGAATACTGTGTTTAGATTAGTTTGGGCACATAGCTTGTGCTCCCATTTAATGAGGGAAAAAAAGAACTCCATAATATTACACCTTGTAAATACAGAGTAATTGTGAAATAAGGGATTTTACAGTTTTTGCCACATTTTATGCTTCAGTTTCTGTTTTTTCTGTTGTGCGCGCCTTGCCAACCTGGGCGTAACATAATACAGCGCATATGTAGATATCACACATGGAGCTGGTCACAGCTCTCTGTAAGCTACAATATTATTTGGTCAGTTTTCACAAAGAGGATACATTGAAAAAAAGTCCCGGTACTTCACTTTCGTGCTTCGCATGATTAAAAGTTGGGAGAATCACGTAATGTCCTATTCTTTTCCTTGAAAATATTCAAATAATATGTACATGTCCGAGTTAAGAAAATTCAAAGAATCCCAAGGGTTTCTTATGCCTGTGAGCATGATTATATTATCCATCCATGTGTGTTGCTCCACCGTTTGTGTTCAAGTATCTAATGCTTAATAGGAGAAACCACCACTACAACAATGCTCATAGTTAGCCTTTCTATGGCATTTTACATGGTGTGGTAGCATTAACCTGGCGGAATTTTGGCAGGGAACATTAGGTGGTTTGGTTCAATACATAACGTGCATTTGTTACTTGTTTTATGTTCAGTTTGACGGTAAACTTGCAAACCTTTGAGGTGGTGTATATCACTAGGGGATTTTTGATATTTACTGGACATCCTCTGCGAATACCAAACACATGGGAGTCCATCTATACAGGGCAGGCATCTATTTGAGGTGCTGGGCTTGTCAGTGCAAGTGGATGATGTAATCGGCGATTAATTGAGGCATGGGGATACGAGAGCAGTGGCCACGCACAATTTGAGCAAAATGTTATCGGTTCTTTGTAGGAACTGTGACGGCCCGACTTGTTGCCTTTCCTCGAAAGCATCGACGTCCACCTGTTGAACACATCACGACATTTGCTCCTATCATCCCCTTCTCCGGCATCACAAAGTCCTGACTGACCCAAACATCCCCAGGCCCACACACTCACTGTCTTGGTCTCGGGAGGTGGTTAGTAAGGAGCTACATTTAAAGACAGGACTTTCTTCAGGGGACACGCTGGATATCCGGGCCTTGTCTGCTCTCCAGTAGCCTGTTTGGTGGGAGAGGAGGAGGAGTGGGAGGAGGGGGAGGAAGTAGGTTTACATTTTTTTTTTTTTAAATGTCCACAAGCAGAGAGGCAGCTTGTGTTCATCGCATGCATGCAAGGCATGCAAAACTACACCGGGTTAAAATGGAAAAAGAATGGACACAGGGAAAAGGTGACATGCAATATGTTAGTCGAGCAATTCTAGAGGAAGTCAGCAGTTATGGAATGACAGAACTTTACTCGCTTGGGGATCCATTTTCATTCTCTGTCAAGTCCGACATTCAAATTTTTTCAATGCAAACAGAACGCAAGCGTCTACGCCAACTTCCCGCAACGAGAATGACACGATCGCACCACCTTGCAGTAACCATGTTAGCAAAGACAGAGAAAAATGGTTAGGTGATCATGACTTCTATTTTAGAAGTGACCATGTCTGAAAAGAGAGAAATGTCATATGAACAAAACTATTGAGACATACCTCTAAATCACTCGGTCAATTAATCCATCAATCATTCCAACAAGGTTTGGACTCGGACTGCTGATTGTCCTTTCAGAGTAATTCTTTAGAATTTTAAGTAGGACTGAACATTTCATTGAATGTAATTCCACATCGCAATGTAGTAGAATACAAAATTCAAATCACAAAGGCTGTAATTTGTCACAGACCTGATCTCAACCCCATCAAACCTCACCAAAATGACCACAAAGAGACTTCCCGGATGACCGGAAGCTGTTCAACTTCATATGTTCACGTCCTGTTTGGTGTCCCAATACTTTTGTTCACGTGGCGCGCGTGTGCAAGAGCATACATTGACAAAGCATGCTGCAAGAAAGCTTTTGCAGGAATGGGTGCGCACTCACCTCTTCTCTTAAGGGACTCGGCAATCAGAGCAGAGATGTGTATGTAGCACATGGCGGCCTATGGGAGGTGGAGGATTGGGGAGGGGGGGGGGGAGATAAGAGATGCATGAATCAGCATTCAAATCCAACTTGAATGACTTCTACCCATCTTTTTCCATTCTTGAGCAATCAGCATTACAAAATGGCTAAGTTTCATGGAAATGGCGATTCCTGGGCAAAAAACGGAGAAAAAGAGCTTTTTGTAAAAGCATGCATTTCAATCACGTGAGGCACCACTGCCACCTACTGGTCGCTTTTTTACATAATTTACAATGCAAACGGCTTATTCTCATTCACAGATTGCATCAGACCTTCCTCCTCTCTATGATGCAAAAAAAAAGACTTAGACGTACAAGTACGTCCTTGGTAGGCGGGGCCTAATTTTAAAAAGACGTACAAGTACGTCTTGTGGAATGAAAGAGTTAAACACATCGATTTTTGGAGTGCGCGAGAAAGCCAGAGTACCCGGAGAAAACCCACACAAGAGAACACACACACTCCACATAGGAGAAGAATTAAAAAAGTACCTCGGAGAGATCGCCGTTGCGGACGTGGACCTTAGCCATACTCTCCAGCCAGGTGCGCCGTAGCTCGGGCGTGCTAGCGTATGAGTTGGCCAAACTGTATTGAAGGTCTACCAGCATCTCCGGGTCCTTCTCGTGCTCCTTCATCTGCGCCGTGGCCATCAGCACCGTCCTGACTCGCTTGGTCAGGTCTTTGACCTCGGCCGGGAAGGGAGAATTCTGCAGAAAGACCAAAGCTGATGATGTCGTGCACCAAACGGCTGGCGGTCACAGAATTACTAACATCATTATATTTGGAAGAGTAAATGACCTGCACCAAGGCCAGATATTGTTTTTTTTTTTTTTCCTCACAACTCGCTACTCTGGCAATATGAAATGAGCCTCACGGGACCATATTTACTTACAGAAAACACTGAGCCACGTGACGTCGTTTTTTTGTTTGTTTTTTTGGGGGTGGAGGGGTCGCACATCACTCGACATCATGCTTTTTGCGCATGCATGTCACATCACGGTTATATTGCGCTCACATTAGAAGTCACTTTTTTTTGTAACATGAACAAGTACACAAAAAGATTGTATTTAACAAAAAAATCCGAAATGGGCTTCACAACCTGCAGTGTGAATGCAGCATATGGCCTAGACTCTTCCTCATCCCCCCCTACTCCAAATTGAACCAATTTTGATGGAGCTGGCACCACAATCACGGAACCACCAGAGATTCTCTGGCAAATCACATGGCAGTAAAATATTCGATTTGAGGGGCTTCACCTTGAGTGGAGCATCTCCATTGGCAAAGTTATTAACAATGGCAAGCGACTGCTGAAATCTCGAGCCTCCAATGCCAGCGTCGGCTATCAACTGACTCACTGCCTTGATCACCTAAAAGCGGTTGAGAAAAGAAGACACATTTATTCACAATTGCACTTGAGGGGAGAAAACAAAATACTTTTTTTTGGCACACGAACCTGAAGATGCGAGCGCACTATCGACTTTCCCTTAGTAAACTCAAAGTTCTTTCTCATGACAAAATAGAGCAGCGCCGCCGCCTCCGTCTGGGTGGAACTGGAGCGATGGTTGCAGCATTTGAGGATCTCGTAACACAGGCAGCCACAAAGATCCGCCTTGCCTTGGAAGAACGCGCTGGGGAACTAACAGGAAGAGAGTGGAAGGAAAAAAAAAATGTCACCTGTGGTCTGTTACAGGGGATCAACGTGCCGGCATAAGACACCTTTTGTACAAAGAGCCTGAGTGCAGCAAAGATGTGGCGAAGGGTGGCGGTTGATTGGTTGATTTGAAAGAAGAGCAGGTAGGTGTCCAGCACCTTCTTCATCAGTGCGTTCTGTCCGTCATCAAGCAGCAGTTGTTTCTGGAATTTTGCAAGGAGTGTCAACAACTTTGAAAAGGTTGGTTGCTTTTCCACCAGGGGGCATTATTACATCAAGGATTAACCTCAACATGCTCACGTTTAGCAATCTGTGAAGATGCCATAAAATGAAAAGTGCAGTACTTGCATTTGAATTTCAAAAATATATTTTCCACTTTTGTTTTTATTCATATTTATATTGCCAACTGGACACATGAGGGCTGGCACTTGCACTTAAAAGGAACCAAGAATTAAGTAGCATACGTTACAAAAAGATACAGTTATAAAGTAAACAAATATAATGTGAAAAGTTAAGACAGTTTGTGCATCATAATTCATAGTGGGCATTCTGCTGCCCCTTCCGGTGTAATCGCCTTTGCCACAAGGGGGCAGTATACTTCATACATAAATGCTGTCCACCTCAAGGGAAGACGGGCACAACAGCTCAAACTAGCTTCAGTAATATTAGTTGTTTTGAAGAGGATAAAAAAAGATATGCCTGTGCGTACTGTGATATCGTCTGTCTATATCTTGTTGCACCGTTTGTGTTCAAATATCTGTTGCTTAATGGGTCATAAATATCATGGCATCTATTCTGTGTCTAAAGCGGTTTGCTTTGTGTGTCAGCAATAAGCTAACGGGCCTACATAAGGCCCATATGTTTTAGTTAAAATACACAAACTGTAATTCTCTTTGTTCTATGTTTAGTTGGACAGCAAACTTCCAACCGGGAGTGGCATTACACATCTTGAAGTAATCACTTGCTCTCTTTTTGGAAGAATTTGCTCAGTATCTGGCAAACTGCGTGCTAATTGAGAAGTTTGCTGCCACCAGCTTAATGTCAGAACTTATTTTGCATAGTCAGTGCACATTTACTGTCGCGCCACTCTCTGTTCCTACGATATCCACAAAAAACATGTTTTAAGCAACTTCCAAGAATTGTGTTTTCACAATAAACTTTCTTTATTGGGGCGCATGTAAATAGACTGAATTATGCAGCATACCAATGTAATGTGCCTCCTAAGAAGGACAAGGAACTAGTTTTCGCTGATTTCTGCTTTGCTAAACCCTTTCATGCACCCTGTAACCATTATAACATGATAAGCTGTCGACTGCAGTAACCGTTGTCCCTCAAAGGGTTAATGCTAGACTGGCCTTGGGCTTGAGTGAGTTTAGACTGAAGAAACAAAGGTTTTAATGACTCCAATGTTTTCTATGTGACAGTGTACCGTGTCATTTCAGGACATGTGGCGTGAACAGGAAAACACACCTTGTGATGATGCACAAAGAGCTCCAAAACATCGAGCACAGTGAGCGCCACCTCAGTGGACAAATTAGCTTCAACATCAGTGGGACTCAGATTGTCCCCATCTTGGATAGTCCCATCTAGATACAGAAAGTGGACTTTAATGACGTGAATAACATTTTATTCACTGTTTGTTGGAAATGCCCTACCGGTTTCCATCATCTGCAGCAGTTTGGGGTTGGTGAGGGCGTTTTTGCCCCGGATGATGGGCATAGTTTGGGAGCGTGCCTGTCGGTGACCGTCCCCTCCGGAGGAGGCCATCCTGGTGGAATGAGAAGCAGAAATTGTTGTGTGGATTGCATTGATCTGCAACCTGCAAATACTCTCACTGGTCTATTCATTAAGCACACTAGAATAATCCATTGAAATAAAGAAAAAAAAAAGAACAGCTACCAGTACGTAAAAATGGTTGCTACAGTCTATTAGCACATGTGGAGCAACAACAAATCACACCAAACAATGGGAAGCATGCTCAGAACACTTACACGTGACATCAATATTTATGTGGCGATCACCTCGCTGATGAATAAATACAATAAATATATATTTAAGATTGATTTTGCTTGCAGTACAAGTTTTCTTTTCTGTTTTTGTAGCTTTCAGGACAATTCAAGTGCTGTGTTCATTGTGGCTCAAGCGGTAAGAGGCTGGTTACCATTGAGGGAGGAGGCTTGAGGGCTGGGAGGGATGGTTAGGGACCTTCAGGGTGCCATTGGCGTGGGTGGACTGGGCCAGCTTTAGCGCCGCTGCTAGCTTCCTGTTCACGAGCCAATGACATCACAGCTAACATTAGTAGGGCTTATTAGTGAATATCATGCTACGTGTGACAAAACATCTGTGTGGTGCAAATAGGACGCGGAATCTGCAGCTTTGTCAAAACACTGTCTTAAATTAAGGCTGAGAAAAGGCTGAGGGTTCTTTTTTTTTTTACCTAAGGTTTTACTGGAATTAGTCCACAGTAACAATGGGTAGTTATAATGACTCTTTCAAGTATGTAAGTGGTGAGTATAGAGAACTGGGAATGACATTAATAAAGTGCATGGCAGGGGACAAGTGAATACCAGTTAAACTGGACAACAGCGCAGCTCAGTAACCTGATCCCTTTGAACAGATGTTTAAAATGCACAGCGGTGCTGTTTGATGCCTGAATGAAGCCAGATCACACTTGAATGCAAAAAAATAAAAAATACTAACAATAATTAATCAAAAAATAGTGCTTGGTCAGATGAATGGAAAGACAAATGGAGTGCAGCAAGCCACGAGGTTGAAGAGAACATGCGCATACCGGCCACAATATTAGATACACTTTTGATTTAAATTATCCTTCCGTGAATAATAAAATGTACGTTTATCACCAACACTATCATTTGATCATCGAGTCGATGTCGATGGATTGTTGTACCTCTCGTCAAAATACGACAAACACCACAATAATACGCATATTCAATTAATTCCTCTCTCAGAATGTCAATAAAAACTGCTCATGATTATCCTTGCCGAGGCACAACTTTTGATGAAAAACAATGTAGTTGTACCAAATGTTGTGGCCAGTGAGGGTACATACAGCATGCGTCTATCACATATGCAAAATAGGGGACATGATCACTTGACGTGAAGACAATCCATCAGTGCACAGTCACTGACGAGGCATGCGGGCGGGAACACGGATAGAACATTATTACAGTGATGCATGCCTGTACTATGCACATGTGAAAAAAAAACAAAACAGCAATTCAATCATAGCTTGAATTAATAACCGACTGGTTGACATATAGCTTGTCTGGAAACACTGCCAATGTAATGCCGGCGCGGCAACTTCAAGGGGCGCCTTGCACTGAAACATGCGAGCATCAAACGGTGCCAGCAGCGAGGCAGACACAGGGTGTGCTCTCCCCCCTCGGCTCGCTATCACAGACCAATGTTAAGTAGCTCACAGGCTCCCTGACAGGCTGCGCCACATCTGAGAGTGAGCTCGGCTTCCAGCTATCTTTACTCTCTTAATGCTCTCGCGCGGTATAAGCCGCGTGTTCCCTTCAGCCTGCATGGTATCGTCGAGAGTGAGAGCTAATTTAATTAGCCGGTATGGAACCAGAAGATGGAGGGAGGGCTGCCAGTGGCTCGGTTCCAGTAGTCTTGCAAACACACACACAGAGTCGGGGAGAACAACCCCCACGGTGCACTTGCCAAATACTACACGACCATATCCAGCTGCGTTTCACACAAGAGCGAGACGCCCCTCCCCGTTTTCATTCCTCGTCTCGAGTGTGCACAGGAATACGCGGCGCACATTAGTGTTCCTGCTTCACCTGTGTTTGTACGCGCCGCATGAATAATACATGTTCGGGTCGACATGTGTATGTATGTCGACTTAATGAGGCGACGGAATATGTGCAGTGTTGTTGCAATGAAAAAGGAGTCGTACCTGGCGATGTGGCGTTTGCCCATGAACCTGAAGTGCTGTAGGCAGAGCCTAAAGAAAAGGAAAATAGACACAAAAAAAAAGCCCCCCCCCCCCACGCAATTACAATGTATTGCTTCAAAACTGAGCTCAAAGCTGAGCACACAAGTTCATTTCAAGCATTTCTGGAGTGGCCTCTGTGCCCTCATTTACATGTTTTCAATTAGTCTGCCACCGCGGAATCCAACTCTTCTTGCATTCTCTGAGTGCACTCGACAATGAAGAAAGAGAAGCCCTTACTCTAATATTTTGAAGAAATCCGAGATCTCTTGGTGGATGGCCCGGTGCCAGTAAGAAACCAGCACATCTGAAGAAGACAAAAGAACAATAAAAAAGAAAATGAAAAAAAAAATGTGTAGATGCCATTGGAGTCGGTCGCACTTGTTCTAAATCATGGTCATGTCTTTTAACCAGAAGAATAAAGTCGAAAGATGAGTATAAATTCATCAATAAATCTTGATTAGTTTGTTTCCGTTTCAATTTCATTCTTCTTCTTTTTGCATACATGTTCCAAATAAAAATATTCAATCCATAAACGTCATTTTAACATAAATATGAAGATAAAGTATTGGCTAGTTTGCCACAGTATTACAGTGCTGTATTTTCATTGTATTTTCAGTGTGGCTCTTCCATACCTTGGTAGGAAGGAGCAAACATCACACTTAGCAAACTGACCAGAGTCTGAGACTGAACTGGCTCATCAATAATCAGCATTTGGACTTTCCTTCTTACCTTCAGATATGGTTTTCATAATGTGCAGGAAGCACATGAGGAGGCTGCGCGTCTCCGCCTGGTCCAGCTTGTCACAGCGAGACCCGTAGCCGATGAGCGACTGGGGCCGAGCAAACTGAGCACACACGTACGTGAGGAAACACGCTCAAAATACAGCAATAGATGAAGCATCACGATACGGAGAGACCATTTGAAAAAGTTTCAAAACGCACCTTTGAAACACATTGCACACATAACTGAAGAGGTCGCGCGGAAAAAAAAAAATGCTTGCATAAAACGGATAGAAATGACTGAATCTGTGTGTGTGTGTGTGTGTGTGTGATGTACACCAATAAGAGGTGGGGGCAGGATGGGTTGGTGTTACATTGAAAAGAATGGAAATGCTAATTATCCGTTCCGGCCTCTGCCCCGCCCACCAAAAAATACTGTACATTGGTTGTTCTTCGCAGAGGATAAAGGATGTATGCCTAAATATTGTGGCATCGTTTGTCTTTGTGTGTTTCTCTGCTGTTATTGCACCTTGACAATGCCTTTCATTCGCACATTTATGTTGTTTTGCATTGTTTGCTAGCATTAGCCTAAACAGACCGCCGGAAGTTATTTTGCTTAATGACAAGATTTTCATTGGCAGGTGAACCATGATCCAGCCGGGCAACACTGGATGACGACGTCAGGATTAAAAGTAGAAATCAAGGAGAACTTTTTGAAACTTTCGACAAGGTGATAACACTCACAGAGGTATTGATTGAACACTATCTTTATTGTTGCGGTTGTAGTTTGCAGTGGTGTAGAACCCCACTGCATCAAACTGAAACCGCAGCGGTAAGCAGGAGGGCACATGGGGCATTTTTTTTGCCATTAATGTGTCAATAAAATGCACTCGAGGCAATCTGCTGCCTAAATGGCATGGCGCAGCATGGATAAAAGTGTGCATTGAGAAAAAAAAAAACATTGCAAAACGGTTGAGTGGGTGAATCAAATATGTGCAGCTGAATGAATATGAGGTACAGTAAATCTCTGTGTTATGCTGTTCCATAATTTAAAAAAAAAGTATTTTGCTACTCCTGCTCTAACTTGGTTTTAGAAAACAAAACCTAAAAAATATTGCTGACTACAGCTTTGTTGGGAGAATGTTTTCCCACTTATTATGTACGCCTTCTGTGAAATTTAATGAAGACCAGCCTGTTTTTTTTGTTTTTTTTAAAGTTCAATAAATCAAACTGAACCTCTATTGCAAATCCACTGAAACGCATCACAACAAGCACTCCTCACCTTCTCACATCCATCCATCTTCTCACTGTTCCTGTCACTGTTGCTGGGGTTGGAGTCCACGCTGATCAGGGAGCCCCGAGACTCGGCCTGGTTGCCCGTCGCAACCGCCAAAGACGAGAAAGCTAGTAGAAGGAAAATGAGGGGGTGTCAGTGACCTCATCCACACATTTTTTTTTTTTTTTTACTTGCAAGAAAATGTTGAGTCTCAGTCCCAAACTACCTGTAATGGAGTTGAGCACCTCTTTGGAGAAGGAGGCATCCACCGAGTTGCCGTGGCGAGTAACAGGGAGCGTCCCTCCGGCCACGCCTCCCCCGACGCTGAGGTCGTCTCGAGAGCCCTGCGAGTCAGTCAGCGAACCTCAGCTTACAGCTTTGTAGTCATACGTGCGCCATGTCCAGTCTACGGGTACTTTACCTGATTACTAGCGGTCAAGTAAATGGGGAAAAGGTCCCTGAGGAAGAAGCGAGGCATGTTGTCCAGGATCAGACCATACAGAGGCAGATAAAGTGAGGCGATCCTTGCCTGCTTCTCCTGGAAATAATCATAAGAAGAACAAAAACACAGTGTTGTACAAAAGTCCTAAACCACCAGTGCACCAGGACCTAATTTTTAGACATTTTTATCAATGATATGATTTAAATAAATAAATAAATAAATAGACTAAAATGCGGCTAAAGTAAAGTAATTTTTTTGAGGGGGTGTGGGGGGGTTGTTTTTGTTGTCTCGTTGCTCTTATGAGTTACAGTAAAAGTGGTGATATGGTCGTTGAATAAATCTGACATTTTGACATCAAAAAATTATGTCGATTCATCGTGCGTTGAATATCCATCAAAGTAATCATGATTATTCTTTTTTTCCCCCCATAATCATCCAGCCCGAATGAGACATGTTTTGTCTACCTTGGTGGCGTAGCGAGCATCCAGCGAGTGTTTGGCCATGAGGGTCTTGAGTGTGGCCAAAGCCAGGTGCCTGAGGTCCTGCTCGTCCTGCAGGGCCAGCCCCAGTTCTCGTAATAAGAGGCCCGTGAGAAAGTGCTTCCTGCAGAACTCGCCGGTCAGATTGTACTCTGGCACAGAGGCTGAAATATAACGCACACACGCACACGCACACGCACACACACACACACACACACACACACACACACACACACACACACACACACACACAGACATTTTTGCTTTGCATAAGCGACTCCATTATCAAACAAATACAGTGATCCCTCGCTTATCGCGGTTAATGGGGACCAGAACCCCCCGCGAAAGAGAAAAATCCACGAAGTAGGTGCCCGCCCCCCCATACAAGTATATGTACATGTGAATGAGTATATATAATATTTATAAGGCAAAATGTAATGATATACAGTACATGAATGTAGAAGTAAATGTTTGTAGTCATTAACATTACTTAATGCTATATACTAATCGATATGTACTTGTATAAGATGTCTAAGTTAGGATAGATTAGTGTATAAATAACAAAATACAGTAAACATAAATATGAAATTTACATGTAGTACTGTATATGTTGCTTTATTGTGACTCGCTGTTGTTTTGCTGACTTTCACTGCCTCTCGCGGACCTTTTGCGGCATTTTCGCGATGCGCTTAAACCGCGATAAGTGAACCAAAAAGTAGCAAGGGATCACTGTATGTTAATCGAGAAAATAACTAATGTTTCCCTAAATTGTACTTTCTATCATGTTTTGGACACCCAAACAAGAGTGCACATATTTACCATGAGTGCTTTGTGGCTCTGGGGATGCATGGTCTGATATGGAAATATACATGACGAAAGAGGTGACAGGGTAGGGAAGAGAGAGACAGCTCGTTACCATAACAGACAAATGAAAGTGGGGATGTGATTGAAAACACAAACGGGTCAACGGCCCCATGAATTACCTGTGATGCGAGCCGAGGGCAGAGGCAGGCTGAGGGGGATGTAGTGCTCGTGGTTGCACACCTCTCTCAGGAACTCAAACTTGAGCTCGCACAACACCTGTAAAACACAAAACAGATTACATTCACGGCACAAAGAGAATTTTGTTGTTGTTGGTGGTGGTGGTGGTGTTGTTTTCAATGATTCTCCGTTGGGGAGTCTACCTTGCTGTCAGTTGCAGTGATCATGTTGATGTAGTTGCTGATTAATTTGAAGGTGAAACCTCGGTCCATCAGGGTGAAGCAACGCTGCGGGGACACAATTCACAACACACTGTAGTTGTTCAGACAAATCAGGGGCTAAAAGTAGAACACTCGCACACGCAGTCGAATGAGATTTAATACCAAAGCAGCATTAAAAAAAAAAAAAAAAGCTCATATTTTCAACTCTGCAGAGTTATAATCGGATTTTGGTTCTATTTGGTTTTAATTCTTTTTTTTTTTTTTTTACAGTAGGTTTCTTGGTTTTTATGAATTTATGCTTCCTTAAGGTTTCATTTTTCACAAGTTTTAGTATTTTATTTATATATGGAATATTTGTGCTGTGCAAGATTAAAAAAAAAATCAAAAGTAGTTTGTCATAAAAATCATTTCAACGACAATTCCCAAATGATTGTCAACCTTGTTTCATCTGTATCGCCGTACAACAATGCAAAAAATAAATACATAAACCACGAAAGCTTTTTTTTAAAGCAGTCCTTTTGATTCAATTTTATTAACCCCCGCACCCCCCAAAAAAACCCGACTAGTGGCCAATCCTGGGTTTACTCAACTGTCAACGTCGCCAGCTCCCTCACGACCCAAATGAGAACGAGCGCGACAGAATACGGACGACTCAAGTAAAATCCCACCTTGACAAAAGCTGCCACAGCTGAGTTGGCGCTACGTGACTCCTCTGTCAGGTCTTTGTACTTCCAGAAGATATGTTCTGACACCTTTTCCACCAGAGTCTCCACACGGTTCTGGTAGGATGAGGGGAAACGCTGCGGCCTGGGGAGCTGCCGCGAACGGACGGAATATCAGTCGGAAATGAACGGTCAAGGAATACGGTATGTAAGACTGCATCAGTACGCCGGCTTACCTTCAATTTGTCTCCGTCAACCAAATGTTGGGCCATGGACTTGACGATGAGTTCAAAGAAGAACCAGGAAAACTGAAAAGAGATGTCGTCGTTGTCGTCCGTACATCTATCGATGTTTAGAAATGCACGATGAAACGCTCGATAACGCCACGAGAGACGAACCTTTAAGACATTCCGAACTGCTGCTTGCTCGTTGCTCTGCAGGTCAAAGGTCATGCCTTTAGCCAACTCCTCGTGCACTGTCCTGAATCCGTGGGCCTCTGACTTGAACACATACTACGCGCGCGCGCGCACGCACGCACACACACACA